ATGATGATGATGATGATGATGATGATGATGATGATGATGATGATGATCTTCAACAGTTTATGTCGTGGTGTTGCGGTGCTTTGCCTCAGGCTACTTCTAGCAGGTATTTGCAGCTGGCCGCACCCAAAAAACAAACATAGTATTCCAAAGTAATCACACCATTCCATATGAAACACATTATAAACTAGTCTACAACATGGTCGTTTTGGAACACCCCACCACAATGGTCGCTTTGTACATGGATGGAGTTTCAAGGTTCCACCCGGACAGTCTTTTGGGAGATTGAGGAGCATCCAACAAGTGTAGAAGAACCAAAGAGATCGGTGCTGTCCCTTTCTAGACTTGTCACCAAGAGAGGGCAATGTCTGGCCATATGTCCCCTCCCTGTCAACCATACCCTTCTACGCTCCGGTGCCAGCATGAAAACCACCCCAGTTGCCGTCGCCCCCATCCAGTCATGGACGGGCCAATATGTACCGTCTCATGGGTCGTGACTGGGATAGATAGCTCTGTCCCAAACAGATGACCCAGAGGACACAGACATGGTTTAACCATGTTTAACCAAACAGATGACCCATTGTCAAACATATGTTTATCACCCCAAACACATGACCTGCAACATCATGTTCATAGTGTCATAGACATTGCTGATAGCCCACCTCTGTGGAGGGATCAACAGTGACATCGACTCCCAAGGTCCGAAAAGGTCCGAAAAGGTCAACAGGTGATTTATTGGGACACCGTCCGAACGTCTAAGGAGCTATGTATAGACACATTCACATCATACATACTTATGTATACATATATATATATACTATACGTATGGTTATGTATATATATATATATCATTCTAAGGGGTTCATTGTGAATGTCTAGTCTAAGTCGTTATTCTGTCATCGCATTGTGATCATCCAATCATCCCATCGCGCGCACGGCAGCGCTCGCATACGATGAAGATCCACTTCAGATTGCTTAGGATCGCAGTTGGGGCATCTACCAGGTGGCTCGGTCGGTGACTGGGGGAATGCCTCGTGGTTTCGGGGTGTCTTTTGGTTCCGCCAGTGGATCCCAGCGAAGCGCCCGCAAAACGTTGGAGGTGTTTTTTCTTTGTCATCAACTGTAGATTCCCAATGATTCCTACAGTGTAGATAGACCCTTAGTGGATTTCTTTCTGAGATGTAGACTGGCACACCTGCCCATCTGGGAAGTTGTATCCATCCCCAAGGCGTTTTTGTCAAGCTGCTCGTTCACACGAAAAAAACTGTTTTCCTCTATGGACTCCCAACACAGCAAAGTCAGGAGCTCACATCCTTTCATTGTTTCCACGACCCCTCCAGGAAGAGGGGCATGGGGCTTCCTGTGTTCTTAAAAAGAGCCTGACCCAAGTCATCATGCAATTTGGCTGAAAGATCTAAAGATGCACATGTTCACCCTACTAATTATAACATTTGATAGAGAATTGTGAACTCCGGGGGGGCGTGTCTTGGGACTGGTCCTAGGTGTCGGAAAATTACTCTTAAAAAAACACACACACACACAATCAACTTCCATTAATTTGTGTGTACCCAAACCTGTAGGATTTCCAATCTTTGCGGTTCAACACCTTGACAACCAGGGAGGTACCTGGTATTGCTTAGGGTGAATCTCTTTGTTTGAATGGTGAATCCTCTTCTGGTGATTTGTGTTTCACTTTTTTCAGTTCCTGCACAGCACGCCTCGGGGGGAGTGGTGCAGCAGTGATTGGAACCATTTGGCGAAGAATCGTCGGGTTTTCCCGTCGGGCTGAGGACCCGATCATGTTGCCCCTCACCATGGATTTTGGACAGGAGATTGCGGGAGAATGCTGAGCCTGATTTTTTAGAGCCTTATAAGATGGGGGAGAAGCCTTACATGCTTATCAGGCTTCTCCCCCAGCTTATCAGGACATTTTTAGAGCCTCATCATGATGCCAAGCCGTTCGGGTACTGGCGGTGCATCACTGGGTGTGTCGGTTGCCACGGTGCCATGGGGAGAGTTTTCAACAAGGACTGAACAACCACCGAAGGACTGAACAGAAAGGAGTGACATGGTTAAGGCGACAGGTTTTGGGTGTGTGTATGTGTGTGTTTTAGCACGATATGTGTAAAGAGACAGACTCGCATTGTTTAATAGGATGTCCTGGACGCATGCTGCCCCCCAGGGGATTGACTTGGTCTGTTTCAAATGGAACCTCTATCGCACCTTCTTTTAACGGACATCCCACTCCTGCCATTGGGTTGTATGCTTCTACCGGTTCTTATTGGATAAAACCATGGCCCAGTGGAGGACCACCTTCCGACACTGGCCGATGATCTCGGCGAGTTGGAGACCCCTGAAATAGACCATGAAATGAACAGTACGATATCGACACAGAATAGTATGAACGTCTCGGGATTTCCACATGCATTTTGTTGCAAGTCTTAGTCAAGACTTCACAAGCACAATGTCAGTTTCTCAGTTTGAGCTCTCTCGTTTCCTTTGTTCATCCGTTTTACTGCCAAACGCTCCAACTGTCGCGGTGCGGCCTCCGGGCCTCTCCAGACATGCCTCTGGGCCTCCCGTGTTCGAGTCTTCGGTGGGCATCAAACATAAGAGGGTGGAGTTGGCTTTTTTGAGTATGAATAATATTGGTGGCTTCTTAGGTAGATTCATTTGCAGCATGAAACGCAGCGGTGAAATCAAAAAGTTGCCAAGTGAAAGCTATGAGGCTATAAGGGTCTCACAAATGAATAGGAAGGAGGTTCAATAGTCGATTTTTAGAGGATGCCACCGTTTCTAGATGTGTTTTCTCTATATATACAGGTTGTGCGGTCATCCTCGACCTCCTCAGACACGGTCATCGGAAGGTCGACACGGCCAGAAAACTTGAGCTGCAACGTCAAGAAGCTTTAGCCGGAACACAGAAACACACGCAGGATACACACCGGAAACTACCCACTGTCACTGTCATATTGAATGCATTTAAATAAACCAGCAGATCGAAAAAGCAGCAGGATCACCATGTGGGGTCATGTCAGGAAACTTGTGCAAGTTAGGAAACGGTCAAAAAAACAAAACACAACATGTCGGGAAACCAACCAACAGCACAGAAGCGTTCCGTGCAGTGTTAAGTCAGGAACTTTCATGGAACACCGACACAAAACTCTGGAAGCTAGCACTGTCACTGGATCGCAAGGGGTGCACTCTACCGATCTATATTCATCAAGGAAACCACCTCAGATGGTGATGGTCACTGCAAAACAGTGTGTTTCATTTGGGGGCTAAACGTGTTTTGATGGGTTCTTTGACCTTCAATATGACCCAAAGGTTGACCCTGAAAGCCCAGTGTGAGCGGCACAGTCGGAAAGAAATGTGCTTGCAAGTTGCATATCCGAAGGAGTGTCGCACACATGCATACAGACCAGCAGACAGACAGACCAGACCAGACCAAGGCCAGGCCAGACCAGACCAGACCAGATCAGACAGAAAGACAGACAGACAGACAGACCAGACAGGCAGGCAGACAAGACCAGACCAGACCAGACAAGACAAGACAGACATAATTGTTTATGTTTCACAGTGACACACTCGCATGAGTATGTGTTTGTGGAGTTCAGAAAGCATGAGTATGTGACTTCAGCTAGTGAACATGACCCGGTCGCAGAGTGAGAACTTTTGGTGCTAGGACATAAGGTTAAAAGTTCGCATCCTGTTGTTTCACACTTTGGGGCTTAAACGCCAGGCAAACTGAGCATACTTTCCTAAGTCAGTTTCCTGACTCTCTCCTGGCCCTGTCAGTCGTTGCGTGGGTGACATGGAACATCAGTGGCCAGTTGTTTCCAGAGAACGACGGGAAAAGCCAGAAACTGAGCAAACGCAAGTGCACGTACATGGCTGCCGCTGGAGATTGAAACATCGGAGGTTGAGTTGCAAGCCCGTGCCACTATCGCGATTGGTCTGATCATGCAGACGCAGCCGTGCAAGGGCTCAATTCAGCTGCTGTTGATGGTAGGGGCTCTTCAGGCGTATGAGAGGCCTCCCATATCATATAGGCCGTTAAGCTTTGCGTGCAACGCCGTGGTCTTGAGCTTGATAGGAAAGGGCCCTTGGCTTGCCAATCCACTGAGCCCTGTTGCTGCAGGACCTGCTTTTGCCCAGCTCAGTCTTTGACATGAGCACGGCTTCTTTGGAAAAAAGCTTTGAAAGCGTATTTGGGAGAAAGGCGGCAACGGATGAAAGTTGTTTGCGAATAAGATCGACATGGTCAGTGGCAGCCGTCTCTAAGGTGTATATATATTATATATATATATGCATATATTTTTTGAGATGTGCGAGAGAGAGAGAGAGCGTGCGCACTTGTCCTGTCTTACTCATGCTAGCCGGTAGCCATCAGCACCGCACGCAGTAGAGGCACAATTGCTTCTCGTTGAACTTTCTTTTACACCGCTGCTGACAAGATATGCCATGTACTGTTGGATGGAGGGGAAGGCAGCCCAGTAAAGAAGAGTGCGCGCATCCAACCATGGGAATGTTAAGGCGTCGTGGGCATGCTAACAACTACCGGGTAGTGACAGGGCAGTGATTCAATTTGATCCCGGTTTCTTGGGTGCAGGGTTTTGTCTCGGCTTCATTCATTGGATTGATATTGCATTGTTTGGGTGCTTTGTATACCGGAATCCAATCAGAATTGCGAATCTGAGGTTGTGACCTTCTTCCCTCTCACACCTAGCGCTGATGGAGCATTGATCAACATGAGGGCCGCTTGGATGGGTTTTGGCATGGTTTTGCATATTTGTTGTGGATGTTTTTGGCCAAACATGGCCAAGCCCCTTTGTACAATTGGAACTACTTTGTTGAATCGGTTCCACGTGGGATGGTTAACTTCGGAAATGTTGTTGGGGGAGAGAGTTGGCACTACCAAATTTGTGAGGAGTTATGTAGGCTGTGCAGTGTGGGGCGTACAAAGGAAAGCAATGTTGCATCGTGTAGACATTTTTGAGTCTTGTTGTTGCTGTGACCCGAAGTACATGGGTTGTACCATAGGTTGGTTTCAGCTGAGGTATTTCATAAATTTACCCCCCCAGGATTCACATTACTGGAATGGTATTTTGTGTATACATTGGATCATGTTGTTTGGAAATCTAAATTCTAAAACCTTGGGGGGTTGCTGTTTTCGAAAATGCCATACACATTCGGACCCTTGCAGTTGCCTACATGGCCTGTGTCGTGCGTGGTCTCCATAATCATCCTATCAGATATATACAAAGTTCTGCAAACAGAGAGCTGATGTTGTGGTGGTACAATCAAATGTTGAAGTCATGGCGTTTTGCAAATTTTTGAAGTGTTTCCATTGGGTGGCTGAGTGTAATGCTTTGTGTACCAGTCGACGCCTTGCAATCGAGGTGGTGGCCCCGAACGGCTACGTGTGGGTGCCGCACGAAGCTGGTGGATGGCTGGGTGAGGCGGGAGTGTGACAGCAGTCGCACCAGGCTCCGGTCGCATCTGAAAAAGACGGAGTTTTCAGAAAGGGCAGAAAGGTCACGGGAACGGGGACACACAAGTTATTGCTACATATATATATATATAAATCCCTTCCTCCCATCTCAGTTCAGAAAATGCGGTTCAGATGTTGGTGTGTTTTAGTAAAAAAATACACTGAGTGTTGTTTTGTTCTTATTTTTCCTCAGCAAGTGGTGGGAAACACCCACGCACCCACAGGTTTGGAGGTGAGCCCACGATGAGTCAACGGGACCGACCGGGTCAACTGGACCGACCGGTCCGGTCTAGGGCCCATTTCTGTCAAACCATGAGGGTTGGACGGGTGTGACTGCGCACTGCGATCATGTGACTGAAACAGTGCAGCCATGGGTTCTAGGTTCGCTGCAAAGATGATTCAGAAAAAAGAACAACAAAAGTCTATGACCTGGTGACCGGTCTATATATAAACCAATGGTTCAGGAGGGCCTCCGCCGGGTGATACCTCAACAAACATACCTTTGCCTGCAGGTTCTTGCGGGTGCTTCGGTCACCTCTAAAGGGTCACGAACTGAAGTTCTGATGGATGGAGAGCGCTTGATTCCACAGGACGAACACGGTCACCAACCCCAAAACAATCCATCAATCTACTGGGTATCTTCCCCTTTTGGATCCTTTTAGCAAGCACATGCAGGTGATCCGCACGGTCCTGTTGACTGGTTTCAGGAACCATTCTTCCACGATGTTACACCCATCCCTATAGGGCTCCGGTCGTACCTTTTCAGAAGGTACGACTGGACCCTCCTGGCACCCACACCAAACGCATTCTTTGAAGGTGCGACTGGAGGCCCAGGGCATATACTGTAAAGCCTCCGAAAACCTTTGCGCGGAGGGATGTATCCAGATTCTTTGGAGAACCCTTGTATACTACAGACGTCCAAAGCACGTCCGAAATTGTCCTGGACGCTCTCGATGGTTTTTCCATGTTTTTTCCATGTTTCAAACGACCATTTTCTCCCTTATCCTATCTTGTCCCTTCCCTTTGGGGAAGTGTTGTCATGCTCTCGTTGTTCCAACACCGCCATTGGCCATGGTCCATCCTCTCTCAATGTATTTTCAGAATGTTCCAGAGCTGCTGGCAACCCCGCAGAAAACCGAGACCATGAACCCCAAAAACACCCACCGCATGGCTGCCACCGCGGCTGCCACCGTCACCGCGACTGGGTCCGGCGTGGCATCGCGTCGACAGGTGCCTGGCTTGACCTGTGAGTTTTGCCAGCTCATCGTGACCCCCGAGGCCGACGGTTAGTTCTTTCAGATGGGCGCAGGAAGCTGGCAGATCTGGCAGTGGGACACCTAGCTGTGCGACAACTGTTGGACAGGAATTGTTGTCCTGCCTAGTGTTGAATTGAAGATAGCTTCGGTGGGGTCGTGGGGGTCTTGACATGTCCAACAAAAAGGGTCTAGACGACATGATGTCATTGATCCACGGCCACCCTGTGACGCTGTTGGAACCATGGAGAAGATCACGAGGTTAGCTGGTGTTTTTTGATGTATATCTGTTCTTTCTGAACTGGTTCTATAGGTGATTTTAATGACTTGACAATCTAATAAAGTTCCACTCCATACTGAGTTGTTAGAAGATCTGGTCAATTGGTTGCCCTCGCGAATGGGAACCATTGAGAACTTGCCAAGACGCCTAGACGCCTACTTCTAAACCCTCTGGCCGAACCCGTTCGCTGCCGTTCGGCCCACTGGACCGGATTCCTGCCGTTCGGCCCGCAGGTCCGCTTGGACAATGAGCTGATCTTGCCGGTCGTCGTGATGCGATTGGGCGAAGAGTATGGCTTCCAGGCGCCGAGTCCGAGAGCGAGAGCGGCTCCGGGGGCCGGCGCGCGCCGCAGGGCTTCCCGGGGGTGGAAGTGAGATGAAGTGAGGATTAGTGTTGATTCTTGTGTGAGCGTGTTGATGTTTGTTGGCAGATATGATACTATGATGGACTATGATGATAGTCATATTGACTCTCCTTGTGGTGGAATGTGTTTATAGATCTCAGAGGATTTTCAGCTAGAGCTGTATATGTTCTATGGGTGTTCTGCACGCTTTTCTCTATGTCTTTGGGGCTGCACTTCACCACTGGTCTATCATGGTGTATCCAAGAAATGGAAGACATGCCTTTAGTCAAAAGGATTACAAAGCTCATTTCAAAGAAGAGCCAACGTATGAATGAGATCAGGTGTCTTTCACTCATCTATTTGGACCTCCTCACCATGTTAAAACCGCCTCGACCCTCCCATTTCTCGAGGTGCGCGTGCGGGTGCCGGAGCGGCCGCCCACACGGTCGTCGAACGCCTTCTTTCTGGAGATGGGCTTCGACCCGGGCATTTGGAACCTGGATCGGATGCAGGCGCCGATCTTCTGATGCGTGGGACTGGGGTGAGGGTGGATGAGAAGGCACGGTGAGCAGCCCTAAGGCACCCTACAGGTCAGTTTGACCTGATGTTGCTGGAGTTGCATCATTTTACTGGAGTTGGTCAGTTGGTCATACAAAAATACTACTCAAGGAGGTTGTTAGGACCAAGTTTTTTTGGATCAGACTGGACTTAGATCCGGGTTTGGAACTTGCTGCTTTGTGTGGTGCCGTCGTGTGGAGTTCGAGTGCTGCCGCACCTGGCCACCTACACCGGGCCACCACGCTCCGTCCGTCCGTCGTGGCGAACCCCGTGACGACCGAGGCGGTGAACCTGCCGGCGCCCGGGCTGCGCGTCGTCTCCCAAGCCAAGGTGCGGCGGAGGGAGGTTCGGAGACGACTGGAGGGGAGCGATTTCAGTTTCAAACGAAGTTCAAGCTTCACAGCTGGGAGGATGGAACATGATGGAACTTGGGATGATAGTGCTAGGTGGTGGTTTCGGAGATGTTGAGGTTCAAGCTTCACTCGGGAACGATTCTGAGACTGAAACCACCCGGAGACTCCCATGGGACTCTAGACACTTGGACGACTGGCCTACAGTGACCTCTTTTCAACCATCCCAATGTGGGGTAATTATGCCAGACTTGGAGTGTTTACCTCCCTTCATGGGTTCTTGTACGTTTGGTCTTCCTAGTGGTCCTTCGGGGTCTACTTATTCTTGTGTTGCCCATGGCAGCCATAGAAGCAAGGACACAAAACACATATAATATTTTGGTGTATTTAAGGGCTTACGCCTAAGAGCGGGCCGCGCAGGCAAGCAGGGCAGGTGCAGGCGTCACGTGCAGACCTTTTTAGGGTGTTCGCGGCGTAAGCAGGGCAGGTGCAGGCGTTCTCTGGCTCTTCCTCTTTCTATTCATCTGTTTCTTTTGCGTCCTCTTTCTCTTCCTCCTCCTCTTTCTCTTCCTCGTCCGCTTGCTCTTGCTCTGGCTCTTTCACTCTCCCTCTCTCTCTCTCTCTCTCCCTCTCCCTCTCTCCCTCTCTCCCTCTCTCCCTCCCTCCCTCCCTCCCTCCCGGTCGGACCTACTGTCTTTGGTCTAGGCTTGACCTTTGAACCAAACATTAGAACAGATCATGAAAGAGGCATTGGGGCTGAATCTCGACAACACCTAGAACATGGTAAAGCTTTTGATCCGTCAAAAGCTTTTGCTTGTTCAACTTGACTCCCCTTATCCCCTTTTTGCTTGCACGCACGCTCGGATGTGGGCAGTCCGTGAGCAGCTGCTCCTGGGTCTGGAGTCTTGGGGTTTCCAAAAACGATTGTGTCATACTGTGTCCATGAAGAAGTTTGGGGCGCAGTTGACACCATACTCCCTCCCCTAGTCACAAAACTCAAGAAGAAGACGATCAATCAAGATGTCATGGCAATGGTGGCACCTGTCTCCAAGTACAAAAAGGTACAGGCCATGGTGAAAGGTACCCCCATGAAACTCCGTAGGCGCGGCTTAGGTGTGGCTAGGTGTGCCTGGCATCTATTCCATCATGGCACTCCGCATTCCAATCACCGTTTGGAAGAACTGATAAACGTCAAAGTTGTATCCAACCTCATGGGAACTCTGGCATTGACAACATAGTTTTGATCAGAAAGTGGTGGCCAAAATGGTGCATCAAACAGGCAAATCCCAACCTCACTCCTCAACCAAGGAAATGGTTTATATAGAAAGGTGGCAACCTTAAAGTGCAACCTTGGAACAGTCCAATCCCAGTGGAACCCCACACTCACTCGCCCTCTACAAACCCCTCGGTATGCCTTGAAACTACAATCCACATTCTTTGGACTTGGCGGTTGGCGGTGAATCGGACTTGGCGGTTGGCTCGCCAAGCAGATAGGAAACTCTTCCTACCACATTTGCTTCTCAAAATCTCCTTCTTCACCACAGAAGTCAACAACCAACTGAGCGGACTGAGCGGCTTCTTCTTTGCTACTTGCGATTTCAAATGTGTTTTCACATAGAAATCGCACATTTCTTGGAGCTCTTTGTTTCGCCTTGCTTGTGGCCAGCATTGGGTCATCCACTGGCAGGCTTGGCCCAGCGCTTCACCACAGGTTGTGATGTGAGCGCCTCAGGCCAAGCGTATCCTGATCGAGGACCTTGTGAGCTCCAGGGCTGAAGCAAAAAACTGCAGGGCACAAAACCCTGGTTTCAAGCGAGTTAATTTCAATGCCTTCAAGAGCGGATGGCGCAAAGGATGGACCAAGAACGCAGCGGCAGTATTTGCGGAGGATATTCACCTGACACCTCAACATTCCAAATTGTTAGGACAGGTGACCGATTTGATGAAAGAGCTCTGCTCCGGACTCCGGCCACACCTGGACCACTGGACCGTCGGTTGCTGTGGGAGATGAACCTTCTGCTCCTGCCACACCGGTTGCCATTGCCCAAGAACCTCCATTGAAAAAACGGTGCCTGAACTGAAGAGCGGACACCAAGCAAGGAAGAAACAAGCGACAAAACAACTTTTGACTTAGATGATCCGGAGGCAAGGCTGAGGGTGCACGCCTCAGGACTTAGCTGAAGGGAGAAGCTGGCTGGTCGCAAGTGAGATGGCAGTGGACATCAGTGCGGCCAACATTTGGGCCTCACTACAAGGCCCAATCCTGTTCAGCTCACTGTGAACGAGCAGGCCAGGATCACTGCCCTGGTCCTCAAGGTCAACAAGAATTTCAACAAACATGTGTTTTTGGCGACAAGCTGTCAGAGACCTTGAGGACTGAGTTGACGCACGCCACTGATGCTTGCTGCAGTGATCAGGACCCTTAAGGAGATCAAGTCACAACTTTATTTGACAAGCGTTCCTTTGTGCAAGGGTTGTTGGTAGGATTTCAATGTAACAAAAGTCTTGAAGACATTTGAAGACATGTCTGTGCAAACACCACCCCCTCACAAATAGTTTGCAAAAATAGGTTGAATCCATACACGCACAGGCTGGAAGCCCGACCGCCAACTATATACTACTACTCCGGGATATCTCCAGACAGGACAAGTCGGCACGTCCACCGAACGAAGGTCGCATGGTGTCACCGTTACGTCGAATGGTGTTGATCGGCGTCGATCGGCTCGCAGATCGACTCACTGTGCAACCTTGCTGGCTTCGCGGAGAACATCATGGAGTTTCACGTGCACATCGCCTCGCCCTTGGAGGCGCCGTAGACTACGAGTGTTCAGAGTGTCGTCAGGTGTCAGGTGTTTGTTACTTTGCTGGCCCAAAAGGCAGGGATTTCTGGTTAGCTTGGTCACATACCGTGGAGAAGTACTGAAGTGAGTGAGTTTCAGGGTGGAGAATGGAGGGGAAAGATGGGGAGAGGGGTCTGAAACGTGTTTTTTCCCCAAGATTTTGTGGAAACTTGTGGCCCACTATATAGTACGACTCAGTAGGGTGGCCATGTTCTTGCTGCGACTTTGTGTCCTGAAGTCAACCCTCCGACCCTGAAGAGTGCAGGCGCATGCTGCCGGCCCCAAATCCCCCACCAGCATGTGGGGAAATTTGCCCCCAAAAGGAGAGGGCAGGTGAATTATGTGTGTATATATATATATTTTTTGTCATATCTATTCCACTGGATTTCAACAATGTTAGTAAGGCCGATGGTGGGTTCCAAGTATTGGATCCCTATTTAATCCTATTTACTATTAAGTTTATTATGCATATTCGAACGGACATCGTGTGTTTGGATATCATGTGCAATAATGTGCACAGTATGTGTGATAAAATTAAAGTAATCTTTGCAGCATTGCCAAAAATCATGCACAATTTCAACGGCATTAGCAACTGTCAGGTGCATAACGGCACAAATGACCAGTGAGTTGAGCAAGCTCACTCGAGGTATACTTGAAGGATGTGTGCCAGCTTCTTGCACCTGCCAACAGAGGTTGAAGGACTCTATAGGCGTACCCCACTAATGAGGGTCCTAGGTGACTGAACCCCTCTTGAAGGAAAAAGAGTGGCAACAAGCCACCATGTCAAAGTTTTTTGGAACAACTGTGGTGTCATATCCACACATTGCAACAGGTTTGCTGACATCATCCATGGTCTCACATCCGCACAGCAAAATCGCGGCTTCAATCCAACTGGTTAATAAATCGTGATTAAAATCAACTTGTTTGGAACTGCTGGGGAAAGATCTTTAGATGACCATGATTTCTGTTGTGTCCTTTCTACAATAGTTGGAAAAGACTCTTTCAAGCGGGGGTGGGGGTGTTTATACCCATGCATCGTTCTTCGAGATGGGGACCTTTCAATGATGTCCTTTTGGGTCATCCCAGTCCAGTAGAACAGATGGGATGGCAGAGTTCCATGTGTAGCACCCCATCCTCCACTAAGAGGTGCAAAAAAAGACACCTTAAACCCAACAAATGTTGGCAGAGGACAAAAGAAATCACACAACACCACATGTGTTTGCAATTTGTGCATCATGTCACACACACACACACCATGTTGGATGGCAACAACCAGATGCACAAGATGCACCTCGTGCCGGCTATCACCTTAAGAGTTGTTGACAGGTTGGCTATATAGGTGAAACACCACTGAAACACATTGAAAAAACACACCTGGAACATTAAACAAAACTCATGTTTCCATGTACTTACCCCCCCAAGACCTCAACCTTTTTCCTGGCACCTGGCGTCAGCTCCGCCATCTCTCGCAGCCCAACGCCGGCTTCTTCTTTGCTGGGTCGGAGAACACCCGCGACACCCTGCTGCGCTGCTGGCCGGAGACGCTGACACCAGCGCAGCTGAATGGGGACAACGGCTTCTGCGAGGCGGAACGAGAACGTCGAGAACAGGGGGGTTCGGGTGGTGCGAGCAGTAGTTGTGATGTATTGTTGGTAAAGTGGTGACACATGGTGACACCGTTCTTGGGGTGAAAGTGCGGACGCCATACGGACCGTACTGAGTACGGAACAGGGTCAAACACATATCTCGTGAAGACTTGTTGAGTCGATGTGTCGATAGATGGCACGGACCACCTGGATCTTGGTGGAGTTTTGAGACAGCGTTAATCATCATATAATAGTTGTTTGAGGGTTGTTTTTCTACGGTTGGTCCATCTACTTGGACTCCTTAAAGGTGAATCTGGTGGACGTGAACCTTCCAAGAGAAACTTGACATGACTGATGACTGATGACGCCATATATCAGCCACTGAGACTCACCTACCCATCCATCTGAGTGCCAGTCCCATGGTGTCATTGGGCACTTCATTGGATGTTTGAAACACCGTTGGATCAACCCAAATCAACGGAAGAAGCAGAAGAATCAACCACCCCCAATTGACCAATCTATATAGTTTTGCGATGTTTTGCTGCAATCCACATGAGATGGATTGAGTCTTTGGGATATCTCACCTGGTGCACAGATTTTGCCATTGCCCTACCTTCGTTCCAATCACCGCACCATTTGTGATGGAATTGTAGAACCCTATCGATCAGATGAGCAATGTAGAATTAGAACAAAAACCAGACAACAGGCGCCAGACCGGCTCGTCATCGTCATTCCCAAAAGTACGTAATGGAACTGCTCTCGTTGTTTGTTTCTGGAACCGTGTGTCAAGTATCCTTTATTGCAGTCAGGACCGGTGACCATTTCGACTGGTTCCGGGACCTGAAAAAGACTTCATATTTTCATGATTTGCACCTACTTGTGTTCCTCAAACACACCTGAACTGCAGTTTTTAGCCAGTTCATGAAACTGGTCATCTTGACCGATCAGTTAGGGTGGTTGAACAAGGCCTTAATGTAAGTCCGGAGAGTGTGGTATTATTTGGTAAGTCATGCATCCGACGCATCCAAGTGGTTTTTTGCTCAGTGAACAAGCGATGGCGTGGCTTCCAGGTCGCTCCCAGGTGACTCATCCACGAAGGAAGGGCCACGGTAAGCCTCCCTGGCCCTGGCCCACATGTTTGCTCCGGAATGTGCGGGTATTGTTGTGATGGCTTTTGGCTTGGTCCATCCACCCCCCCGCAAATACAGTTCAAAAAGGGTTGAAATGAGACTCCCATTGGCAGATCGCTCAAGTTCACGGCACTGGTTGCCGCCAATGACTCACCTGGAAGGTGAACCAGTCTTCCCAAGTGCCATGGCTCCCCTACTTTTTCCTGCTGCAAACCACAGTGTTTTGGAGCACTTTTGGGGAGTTGGAGAGACTCGTCACCACACCCAGCTGGAATTTCCTGCCTTTATGGGTGTCCCAAACCTGCGGAGGTGGGGGAGAACGTCGTGACTGGCCTGCTGGGAAGCCTAGAGGAAATCCCAAAGACGACCGTCCTGGAGCTGAGTCGTTGACGTTACAGCAAATGCCCCTGGTAGCTACTTGCTCCTAGCGATGCCAGGCGGAACAGTGCTGCCCAGGCGGAACTGTGGTGTCCCACTTGTTTTACCATATTGTGTGGAGGCATCCAGTCAGTCTCAAACTTCTGCGAGAAATCACCAGTGTCTAGGAATAAACTGAGATTCTCCAGGCTGGCTTTTCGGAGTAGAGTAGAGTTACTTTGTTGCATGAAAGACCAGCCCTTCTCCTGAAATGCAACATTGATCTCATCGCCGATCCGATAAAAGCCTTGCTCCCAGGTCCTTTTCTGACAAGAGCTGGCCAGGCTGAAATTCAACTATTCCCCACTGCAACAAAGTAGATACAACTCTGATGAAATGGACATGGTGAACCATTGGTTGTTAAGCTAATCTGAATGTTGAGAGCATGTTAAGACGGGCAGCTCCATGCTGTTTTTGGCGACTGGCTCCATGCCTGGTCTTCTCATGCGGTGGTCTTTCTCATGTGCCCTTAACCCGGCACACCACCTGAAAAGCCTGAACAAAGCTTTGGTCGTTTTGGAGATCTTCCAGGTTCTCAACCACAAACATGTGTTTTTTTTTTTCTGAACAGGTACGTGGGCCTTTTGTCTAAAAGGCGCGATCTAAAGGATTGATTTATCTATTTATAAACTATATCTATATATCGAAACAGACAGTAAGAGTTCTGCAATGCAGTCTCCATGTGATGTCCCATGCGTTGAGGCCAGAGCTGAAGATGTATGTCGTGCGCGGATCCTTTCCATCAGGCCACCGGATGGCCGGCATGACCCAGGTACAAACCTGGTCCTGAAAACTTCATTGAGTACGTAGTGTTTTTGTATGATCAACTCCCGTAAAATGAGGTCTTCAACCTGTAGTGATATGCTGTATATCACTGATTGCCAAGCCTACTGGCAGTCTTCCAATGGAAGATATATTATTGTGATATCCTGGAACGAGGGCCAAAGCAACATTGTTGGTCCTTTGGGCTGCATTATTCACTAATTTGTACGAATTGGTTTTACTCCATCTCCATGACTTGGGATGACAGAATGCTGTGATGTGCCAGTCTTCTACGCGATTCAGAGACATGAGTAGCCATGAATGCGCCCGCCACGTACAGCCCTCCGACCGACCGACGCGAACTGCGCCCCCGGCCAGGTTTGCATATCTTCCGCTTCCGCGACGTGCGGAACCCCCTGCAGCCCACGGCGGAGATGGGAAGTTTCAGCTTCGGAACCTACACGGATCTGCAGCTCGGAGACGAGGCGATCGGACGGCAGAGCTCCAAAGGACGCTTCGCATCGCTGTGCGGCGAACGACGTGCCAAGGGGGGGGAGGGAGGTAGAAGCGAAGAGCTAGGATGGAGCATTGAACTGTTTGTGAAATAGTGACACTGAGAGGTGTAGTGAAATGTATGTTTTTTTAATATAGAACTTGGAGTTGAATTAACATGTGAGAAAAACACATATGAAAACACCAGTAAAGTAAAAATATAGTAAAAAAACTACCTGGAGCTCTATACAATCAGAAACAAATTTATGTTTCTCCCCGAACAGCCCCTTTTTTTAAATGTAAAGGATCTCAATTGTAACATCCATTTGCTTCTGGATATGTTTGGTTTTCCAGGTAGGCCATTTCAACAAATACTTGTTGACTCGTTGCTCTTAGTGTTCGGAAAAAAAAGAACATGTAGTACTGTAGTGCCACCAATGACATTTGATTCGACCCACCAGATGGACACCCAAACTCTGGTGTCGTCACCACGCGGGCCGCTCGAAGCTCGTCGAAAAGAGACGGAGCACCGGACCGGACCCTTTGGTCTGGTGTCGGTGATGAGTGAACTGAACACCTCAGGTTCGTCGTGTTATTGGGATCAAAGCATATCAAAGCATGGGTTGCCATGAACATCCTATATATGATCTACTTGGTTTTTCGATGTTTCGGGTGATGTTGATGTTCCCGGAGATGGTGAATCCTCTTCCTGGGATGAGATGAAGATGTGTCTCCTGGTTCTTGGACAGCAAATTTCATGATCACATGGGGTGCCCGACAGTCAGTGCAGACAGTTCTTAGACTCGGGTCACCTAGGAATGACCATTCCTTCATGAAAAATATCCTGGACATTCCTGGACTCCTTTGAATCGTCGGCTGGACTCCCCAAAAGGTGTTGCGTTCGGTCAGGCTTCCACTCCCGGGCTTTGACTGTCCCATCGACTGCCACCTCCATCCAACGACTCCGCCCCACCGGGCTTCCCAATGGAACAGAACTCCGACTCGGGCGAAGAAGAGCCCTCACTTCCGGTGCTTTCTTCGGGATTTCTCTCCGGTGTGTGTTCCGACTTCATGGAATTCCTGTGCGAACGTGCCCTGACTGTTCTATACGAATGAATTCTGTGAGCTGAGAACTCACAGATGTCGCTTTCAAGACATGCGGGGTCCAGTGGCTTTCATGTGCGTATTTGGTTGAAGCTGGAAAAGCATCAGCAATTTCAGCAATAGTCACTTTCAGCACTGTTCCCGGAGTGCGTCGCATGATTGGGGTGACACTGGGGTGCATGGGGCCAGTCCTACACGTTTCGGCACTCCCAGAAGCGGACCACAAGCTGAAAGAACCCACCACATCCATGAGTACCGGGTAGCAGGATTCCACAGTGACTCAGTGCTGGGCCCATGGATGAGGATCTGGCGACGGCTGACGGCTGGATGGGTCACAAGTTTGGGGGATCCACTCCACTTCAGCATGAGGGGATTAGGCCACTTGTAAAAAGACCACCTCAGCATCGCTGGTCACCCCAAAAACGGAACACGCGGAAAAGACTTGGCCCGGGCTTTCAAGCTCTGGCGGAGCGCTGGAGCGCCGCTCGCGGAGCGCTTCTCTCGCGCTCGCGCTCGAGCTATAGGCATATGTATCCCAAGCAGAAAGTCTTGGATCTTAGCAAAGAGATCCCGGTGCCTCGGATCGACGCGGAGAGGTGACAGGTACAGGAGAGATCTGAAAGACGGAAAGCACTTCTTTCCGGTTCTTTTAAGGGGTGGGAACAATCTACGGTATATATCTATATTATACAGGAATTCTGGGGAGTTCAGGGATGTTCAGGGTCACTTGTTACCTGTTTTTTGTCAATTTTGTTCCTTTTGTTGTTGTATTTGATTGTATCTCTTTTGTTTTGCTCTTGGGCTTGCAGGGGTTCAAGTGTTACATTTAGCTAATTTCAATAGAGGTTACCATGTTGATAGAATTGTTGTTGAGGTTTGTTGTCAATTTTTTTGACTATATTATATATAATGCATACTATGTCTAATATTATAAGATATTAGGAGTTAATTATACCATCCAATCCCCTATGCCATCCCAATAATGTTCAACCAATCTTGGTAGTGATGATATTTGAGAGTTGTGGCAGTGCGCTTGTTTGGCACGTTTGCTATCACAAATTGGATCATATATATATATACATGAAACTCATGAAATATATATATATATATATACACCTCATTGCCTCATTGCCTCATGTCTGTAGTTTTTTGGCTTGCAGTACTGTTTCTCCTTAAACCTGGAACCGCATGGCACCAGTGGCAAATGCAGACTCGCGCAGACTCACGCAGACACCCGTCAACACCAGCGTGCAACCAGACGGCATAGGTATCAAAAAAAAAAATATTTGTCGAATCAAAAAAATATATTTACCGAATCAAAAAATAAATATTTACTGAATCAATAAAAACATATTCATTGTGCGATGAAATCCCTTGGAATTCCCAGTCGTGTAGGTGGCCGGTCCTCTGGTCCGCTGGTCCCCTGGTCCTCTGGTCCCCTGGTCCGCTGGTCCTCTGGTCCGCTGGTCCCCTGCAGTCCGCTGGTCCACACTGGTCCGCTAGTCCCTTGGTCCTCTGGTCCTGCGTCTTTCTTTCTTTATTTCTTTCTTTCTTTCTTTTTCGCAGCTGTTCTCCTTTCTCTTTTTTGCTTTTGAATTTTTGCTTTTCCTTTTGTTCGCTTTGCAGAGACGAAACCAAACAAGGAAGCAAGCAAGCACGAGCTGCTCACCTTTGGATCTGGTGTGCTGCTGGGGGGGGCGCTGCGCCCCCCCCCCCCTACCCCCCTCGCGCCACGAAATCTGCACTTCATCCCCGACACCCGCGCCTGCCACGAAATCAATATTTTGAGGTGAACTCCCCGGTGCAAAATTGTCTAACCAAGCAAATATGCCTCCTCTATCGACTCTATCTATCTATCTATCTATCGATCTATCTATCGATCTATCTTATCTATCGATCCATGTATCGATCCATTTATCTTTCTATCTTTGTATCTGTCTATCTGCAGTTCAACATCCACAAAGTACTACACCTGCCACGAAATCTGCACTTCAAGGTCCACAAAGTCTTGCGCCTGCCACCAAATCTGCACTCCAAGGCCCACAAAGTCCTGCACCTGCCACCAACTCTACACTTCCACATCAAAAAGTCCTGCGCCTCACGAAATCTGCACTCCAAGGCCCACAAAGTCCTGCACCGGCCACCAACTCTGCACTTCCACATCCACAAAGTCCTGCACCTGCCACGAAATCTGCACTTCAAGGTCCACAAAAAAGCTGCGCCTGCCACGAAATCTGCACTCCAAGGGCCACAAAGTCCTGCACCTGCCACGAAATCTGCACTTCAAGGTCCACAAAGTCCTGCGCCTGCCACGAAATCTGCACTCCAAGGGCCACAAAGTACATCAAAGTACTACACCTGCCACGAAATCTGCACTTCAAGGTCCACAAAAAGTCCTGCGCCTGCCACTCGCCACCAACTCTGCACTTCAACGTCCACAAAGTCCTGCACCTGCCACGAAATGTGCATTGCAAGGTCCACAAAGTACTGCACCTGCCACGAAACACTGCGACTACCACTACGATACTGCTGCTATTATAGTACTGTTGCTACTTTTACTGCTAGTGCTATTTGGATTGTTTTTTTGATACGTTAAATATTTTTTTTGATCTCTCACCCACCAGACACCCGTCAGACCGACTAAGGTGCCGCGCGTGCTTCTGCTGCTGCCCTTAACGGGTCTCATCCAGGCTCCGGACTACGAGCGACCCACCTACGGGATGCTCGGCGAGAGTGTGTGGGTGAGACGGGGAGAGTGTGTGGGTGTTGTTCTTGTAAGTGGGCTAGCTTGACATTTAGCACGTCTAAAGCCATGTTAAACATTGTTAAACCATATTTAAAAACCATGTGTCTTAGTTCTATGATGGGATGACGATGGGATGTTTGTTGGAGGAGGAACTCTGATTCAAGTTACCTGCAGACGGTCCTGGGATTCGGGCACCAATAGCCCGGTCCCTCATCGCTGGGTCCCTCATCGGTCGTGTACAGGGGAAGTTGGGGAAGTCCAGGCACAGCTTCACAGCTTCCTACTTTTTAGGGATCCAGTCGTACCTTCTCAGGTACGGTGATTGGAGGAACTGTTATGTAGGTTTGGAGGGTCCAGTCGTACGGAACCTGAGGTTCAGTGCGACTGGATCCCTAGGGTTTCACCATGTAGCGAACGAGGGACGCCAGGTTCGGTTTCGTGCGTAGGTCGGTCGTCGTGCCCGGCGGGTCGGTCGGTCGAGCAGTGCCAGCCCGCTGCCGCGCACACGGGTTCAGACGAACAGATCACATGGAAGTGGATGGCATGGGCTCCGGGAAGACCATGTTGCTCTGCGGACACGGTGTGTGGGACTGAACTCCACTTCCATGTGATGGGCGAAGGTCGGAGAGTGGCATGGCTGGCCGGGTCATGCCTTCAACAGCTTGGCCTGGCCGCAGAAGACCGAGGGATAGAGAGAAGATTGAGCTTCTTGTTACTAGTAGCCATGCCAGGAGCCCCGTTCGTAGCGTCCTTGCTCCTAGTAGTAAGACCAGGAGCCCCTAGTAGCTTCTTGCCACTAGAGAATGTGTCTTCCTGCTTGATGAGTTGCAAGAAAATGTACATCCAGGTCGACAGAGAGAGGAACCGACCTCGAGTGTTTATCCGATTCTGAGATCCATGGCCTTTCCGGGGTTCCGGAGATCCAAGTTGCGAGGTCGCAGCTCTTGGCCTCAACAGCAACACCCCACGGGATCCCAACCTGCCTCAGCAGCTCCAGCTTGGTAGCTAGAAGCAAGGCAAAGGAGGATGTGATGTGATGTGCCTTGCCTTCATGATCCTTGGAATCCTTTCATGTTTATCCTGCCCTCCGAGGAGAGATGATGCTCCCATGAGGATGAATCTCATCACCTTCTACTTCCAGGCCGACCGGGCTATTGGACGTCGACCGCGGCAGACCTCGATCGGGAATTCGACTCCGAGATCGACCGAGAAGTCGCTTTGGATCCCCAAAGAGGACGCTTGAGCCCAGCTGGAGCCCCTATAGAGTCTATAGAGTTTGCTGTTGGGAAAACATGTGATGATCTATCAGACGACCCCTGTTTAACCTGCAAAAACGCACCCTATACACCCCCAACTGCTTGTATTTTCTCAGAAGGCTGTCAGAGCCAAAAGGCCTTCCTCAGGTACTTGGAAGCGCGGTTTGGGAGGTGCACATGTTTCGACATGGTTCATTCCAAAAACATCCAAAAACAGAGTATTTCCAGGTGGGGTTGAAAGAAACCAAGGAGAAAGAGGTTCTTCTTTTTTTTCTCCTTCTTCCTTGTTGATGCCTCCAGCTGGGCGCAGCTGGCTACCTCTCTCTCCGTTCATCCAGTGAAATCCTTTTAGTCGCACGGGACAATGAAGGACTGACCTGGCAAAGACAGGACTGACCTTTGGCCCCTGGTGAAGCCACCGTGGTTCCAGACGCCCAATCGGTCTCCGATACCAGGCATGAACTGACATGGACATGGTGCTTCTTTCTTCCATTTTTTGATTCCGAACACTTAAAGCACCAAATCCCTCACTTGGGATCATGTATATATATCTATCAATCCCTGTTGGCATGTCCTCTAGAAAATGGCTTGAACCCTCCTGTGGTCATATCAAAGAGGATCTCGCCATCGTTCGTTTCTGCCTGCTTCAACCAGCGATGGTTGACCACTCGCCGATGGTTGACCACTCGGTCAGGTCGGTCCATCGGTCAGGTCGCATCGCTCCGTCCGACCTCAGGTCGCAGATCATCCGGAAGTCCCCGACAGCGCGCCTTGGGTGGAAGGACCAATGGAACACCAATGGACGAGCGTCTTCTGGGACCTATACAGACCCACAAGGGATGCAGGATTTCCTCTTGACCTTCAGGGATGCGTCTTCGGTGTTTCATTGAAATGTGGGGGGGCGCATGCCATGGCATTTGCTGAATTGTCCTTCAAAACGCAGGTGATATGAACGGCATACTGATCCATCGGGTGCCACTGAAGAATCTCCAGCTTGGTGAGGAAGGTGGTTGAAGGGTAAACTGCAGGTACTTGGCAGGACGATTCGTTGATGTGATATTTGGTGTTAATTGTAACTAAATCTGCCTCCGCATTTGTGGTGAATGCGACATGTTATTCATGTGATGCTGATGTTTTTCAAGGACGGCGAGTTACGCACCACGCGCAACAAAGGTCATGCGGGTGCCGCGAGTTTGAATGCATCGGCGAACAGAGGTCTTGCTTCAAAAGCTGGGCTTACATGGAGGATAAGATCTTCCAAATACTTACATGGACCTCAGACACCACCCCAATGTAGGTAAATGTTCCACATATGCAGGTAAACCAGGTAGACCACCCCGAAGTGGTCTGCATTATGCATTGGGATCATTCTTTTGTGGGTTGATTTGACTCGTGCAATACCGCAGGTGCCCTATCTCTACATTTCGCTTCGGGGTCCTGCGGGCTTCTACTTTGAGGAGGACTGCATGGAGAACCTGCAGGTGCGGAACCCAGACCAGCAGTCACGTTCGACGGGGTGCTATGCCTGGAGCTTAGGGGTGCCCCTGTCACATCCACAGCCCCTGGATGGGATTCAAAACACCCCAACTCCATGTGACTCCTGGGTGATGCTGCTCTCGGCGAACGGATCTTGCTCCGATGCTCGAGATCGAGAGCATTCGCCAACATCGGATCTCGGGTGTGTTCACAGGCTAATAGACAACCATTTATCATGCGCAGAAGCTTTCTTCACGGAAAGACACGTTCAGAATATATATATAAGGGGTGGCTTGCTCCAAACGACGTTCAATTTATGTTTGTTTTCTTTTAAATCCTGTTCTATCATGTTCTATCTATAAACACTTGTACTCCATGACTCAATGACTCATCCACACAACATACCTTGATCACTGAGGGGCGACCCATCAAAGTCGTCGACTTGATCGATGAGCGATCAGTTGTTTTCTTTGGATCGTGCCATCAAATAGTCCATGAATAATCATTTTGAACTCTAGCTTAGTATATATGGACTTTTTGGTTTTTATGATCCCTTTATGTTATCCCGGCAAATTCAAGTTTATACAGTTAATATACAAATGACAAAGGGGTGTTGTCCAATGACTTATTTCGATTCCCCTTCAATGTATATTCTACACATTGGAGTTTCTGGCCTATCCCACATTTCCCTTAAGGGAAGTGGAATCGTGCTAGAACAATCTGAACAGTCTATATATTATAATACGGTTAACAAAGGTAGACCGGTAGACCTTCGATCCCCCACATGCTGTCGTAGATGCCCAATGCTCCAAGTATATAATTCAACATCTTCAGCTTTGGAGGGTCAGCCCCCAATCATATTTGCAGGTCTACTTTAACGCCTAGATCAGTCCGAGTCAGGCCACAAACAAAAACTGTCGAGCTTTGTGAAAGAATTCTGGTCCTACTTAGTCCTACTTGCATCTTCTCCTAGATAATCCTGGAAACCCAAACAACCAGAAACTAATGGTTATTCTTTGGTTATTCTTTGTACACTCACAAGTGTTTGCCTTATGTTTCTGGTTCTTTGGGTTTAAAAAAGGCATTATCCTTTTCTCACATCGAACGCCAGTGTCGTTTTCGACCTGCCGTCGCGGACCGGTCGTGCCGCGTCGTGCCGATCGAGGCGTTGAACGACAGCCTGGACGCTTCGCAGTTCCCTTGCAGCGCCAGCAACTACCCGCTGCAGGCGCGGCGTCTTCGCGAATGCGAAGCTGGGCGGCGAAGCTGGGAGCTGTGATGTGGATGGCCCGAAGCCTGTAATTATATGTGGATGTCTGGTGGGAGATGGTGAAAAGTGGGCTCCAAAAAGATTGGGTGGTGTAAATCTCTTTGGATGGAAACTGTTTCGTTTCATGTCGTTCTCAACCTGTTCCTATTTTCTTGGGGAATGCCGGGACCTCTATGCTTGTCCTCAAGCAAACAGACGATGTCCAGAATTCCACCCGGATCCAGTAAAAATAGAACAACTCCTTGCATGCTGCGATCTTCTAGAGAAATTCCATCCCCATCCTCCTCCCCACCCCCCAAAAATGATGATCTGTCGGAAGGCTCTGCCGGGGTTTCTTTTCGCGCCCCCCCCGTCAACACCGAAGACGAAGACCGGGGTGACCGGGGCGAAGACGGCTCTCCGGACGGAGGCGTCCTGGTGTCCGGGCGTGATCACCACGTGGCCGCAGAACTTGGAGCCCGAGGCGTTCGGGATCTCTACGGACGGGACGGGATGTGGGTGGAAAAAGGTGGGGTGGGTGATGGAAAAAAGTGGCTGAAGGGTAGGCAACGGAGTTGGCAGCGAAGTTGGTGTGTGGCAGAATGACAGGTCGAAAAGCTGTGGCAGAATGACAGGACGATCGTCAGTTCGCATGACCCACCTTTTGAGCGAAACGATTTGGGTTGGTGGCTTGGCATTGTAACCACCTGTTCTATTCTCCCCTGTTGACCAGCCAAAGGGTTTGAGAGAAAAATGCTGCAAATGGCTGCAAATGCTGGCACTCGAAATGTCCATGATCCACCCTGAAATGCAGATATGAATAAGATATTTCTAATAAATAAAGGTTGGTTGGTGAAGGACATCCAATAACAAGATGAGGAGAAGATGCGAATAATGGGGGCTTTGGTCCCCGTTACCTTTTCTTCTCCTCTCGTTCGCCGTTTCCCTTCTGCTTCGTCGCCCAGACATGTGCGCACAGACATGTCTCGTGAGGCGTGTTTGGGCATTGGCCATACAGCGCGGCTGTCGGTGCCCAATCCCTTGGCGCGGAAGTGGCCGGGTGTGGTGCCCAACTTCTTGGACAACAGCATGTGCTCTCGGGGGCCACACTGGGTGAGGACGGCAGAGGATGGCACTGGTGTGGAGGATAGGATGGAGCTTCTGAAAGCATTGGTGCCTGTTTGGTATTCAGAAAATGGTCATCCAAGGGGCCATGCCATCCACTTCCATGAGTATTCAGGGGTGTAAGAGTTTACAGGACTGAAACCAAAACTACAAGCTCGCTTTGCCAGTCAGTGTATTTTTGCAAGAGTATTACATGTTTGCTTTCAGCATGTGCGCATCGAAAACAATGATATGCAAGGATACATAGGATACTTAACAAAAATGACCTGGAAAAGAGAACAACTTTAGATTACAACTTTTCGAGTCTTTGTTGCAAGATCAACACACTGGACTCCGGACCCAGAAAGATGTGTTGCATCGGCTTCTCGGTCTGGAATTGAACCGCTGTGCTTCTGCAGGTACGCTTTCAAGATCCAGGTCCAGTCACTTGGCTGACTTGGCGTAGACGGTCGACATGGGCCGTGGGCTTTTTCTGAAGAAGACTCTGGTTAATCCTTCAAAACACGTCCATTGTTCCTCCTTTTCGATTCCGAAACCGTGTCGTCTCCCCACACAGACCGTGTTGCGTCCCAACCTTCCAAAACGGTTCCTCTCCCCCGCCAGCTCCGGCACCGTCTTCCCGCGCGGTCTTTCTCTGTTCCCCGTCTGTCGCTGTCGCTGGACCCGACCCGCTGAAACACCCCACCTCCGGCGTTCGGTCGGCGAGGAACCCGGAGCTGCAGATCGAGTACGGAAGCCAATGGGCCATGGACTTCGTGGACTTCGCCGGGACCGAGTCGGGCCGATGTGAAAAACGACGCGTCGGCGTTTCGGGGAAGAGTCTGCTCCGAGACGAGACGGTACGGTACGAACGTCGGAGCAGAAATGGTTTGGAACGGTTGGGTGGACAGCCTTTTGCAGCACACACACAACGCCAGCACCATGCAAGCTGGTCAGCCCGGAGGGAGGTGCAGCAGAGAACCCTATTGCCAGTCCTATGGGATTAGGATGGATTAGGGATCAATGGTGTTGGTATGAATGGTTGGTGTGCATAAGGTTGCGTAAACTTGTTGGAGATAGGAGTTGCATGAGCTACGCAAGCAAACCCAAGTTTCAGCATACATGTCAGGTCACAATTGCACTTTAAAAGACACACTCCATGCAGTAGTACCATTGAAACATGCAGGCTTGAACAGAACCCAAGTCGGACAAAAAAGCACGGCGTATACGCCCCGGCTTGGGTTAAGAGCCCCGGCTTGAAGCTGCCTATAGGCCGGCCTAGGCATTGCTTTTGGAGACCCCCTCCTATAGGTCCCAAAGCCGGGCACTCTCCAAGCCATCGCGCTCATCCATCAGCGGATCGATCTGATCCGATCCGCCGGATGTGATCTGTTGGGCTCGGAGAAAGAAGCCGATTCTTTCTGCTAGATCTTGCTGAAAACGGCGGTGCGGTGGGAAAACAGATGGCATAGTAAGCTGGGACTTGAGGTTTGGTGGTTTGGTGATAAAATTCCTTGGCGCGAAGGCCCTTTTTGCAAGAACTGCATGTGTAAGCTGCCATTGTGGTCACTGAATGCAAGACACGCAAGCACCAGCAGAAGAAACATCTTATGACCACTATAGCGCTCCAACCACCTCCTCAGAAGGTAGTTAGACCCCCCCTAATCCACCCCAACCACCTTGTGAGGAGGTAGTTGGAGCCCTAGAGGACATAGGCAGATACCGGTTTTGAGAGTCGCTCATGTAATCGCAGGAGACCCTTTGACGCCTTTCTGGTCGCGACATTTCAGCAAGAGGACGTACCGTCGTCTCTTTTTCTGCGCCGTTTTTTTTTTTCGAGGAACTGGGCTTAGTTGTCCAGCTGTTTAGTAATTGTTAAGATGACCAACACTTGGCTTTTCCTGCCATTTTTGATTGACAAATGGGTGGTACAGGAGGGAAAGGGCAGTCACTTCTCCAAAGAAAAGCCGCAAAACGATCGACCTGCTGGGTCATCCACAAGACATGCATGTTCAGAGTCTCCAGGGTTTGGGGGGGGAAACATGTTAGCTGCTGGTCATTCATCCAACACCAATCTTCTTATAGCCCCCCTGAGATGGAGAGGGTCGCACAATCGATCTCAGGGCTTCAAAATCGATATTGCGCTTGCGACATCCTTTCAGGTCGTGTTTTTGGCACCTCAGTCACTTGCTATTAGAGTCACTATAAGGAAGCCATCTATATTTTATAGCATGCTTCAATGTCACCCTGCGGACCATCCACCCGTCTCGGCCGGACGTTTGCGGTGACGGAGGAGACGAAGCTCTTTCTGTCCTCGCCACTCATCACTCGACCCTGGCTGCAGACCACGGAGCAGCAGTACATGACCTTCCGCCACGTGGCACGGGGCGGTGGGTTCTTGAGAAATAATCATGTGGATGACCGACAATGGATGGAATATGAGGGAATCATCATAGCCTGAAAGACCCAGTGCAACAGCCTGGGAATCGTTTTTGCAGAATTTGTGTTGCGTGGTGGATTTTTCCCACCCATTCGAGGACCACTGTTGTCCCACGAGGGTGAACAAAAGAGTGGTTGCCGTTGCAACGTTTCTTATTCCACTGACGAACCCCACTTAGTTCATGGTCCCTTGCAAGTGTTCGAGCCAGCAACTGGACATTGTTGAATGGTACATTTTGGTAGATGCACTCCCTGCCTGCACCATGCGGATTGAACTTGGATTGCTTTCATCCCTGGGACGATGATCACCAGTCAAAAGGGAATATCGATCGGAGCGAATGGAGTGAGGGTGAGTGAAGGTTGTTCTTGTAACATGAGCACTAGCAAGCCACAAACACCACAAGGGTCGGCCATGATTCGTCAGGTCGCGTGACCTGAGATCCCGGGTGCTTCGGTCATGTCGCGAAGCGACGGTCACGAAGCGAAGCTGGTGGAAAGACCAGCTAGTTTGACCAGGACATTTGAAGAAAGGACTACCTGTTGATGGAATTGCTGCTTATGTCATATCGATATGTAATAAGCTCTCCTTCTTCTTCTTTGCTTCGACGATCCTGAAATAACTAGATGAGCTCAAGAAAGATCCTCTCCAAAACATTAGAGGTTTTAGATCCCTGTCCTTTGACCATGCTGGTTTCGAACCTCCAAGGTTTGGACTTCAGGCCCTACACCACCGTCCCCGCGCCCCGCATGCCGCGCCCGGGCGACGCGGTCCCCGCGGCGCGGCGGATGCAGATCTCGGGCTTGACGCCCTTGGCGCCCGACGCGGAGGCGGCGGCGGCGATCTCGCCGCGGGGTGCCCCTGTCACATCCACAGCCCCTGGATGGGACTAAGAACCACCCCGACATGTGACCCCTGGTATACATGGGCTGAAAATAGTCTAAAATGTTTATTTTTTTGTTGTGTGCATGCAGGCAATACCATGGCTTGTAAGGGTTCATTTGCCACCTCTGCTTAGGATCACCAAGCAATACCAAAGAGCAAATTCGTGGCCTTTTGATATTGAAGAAAGAGTGTCAGATCTTTCGAAGAATCTTTAAGGTGTCAGCATCCTATCTACCAGCTTCTTCAAAGTCACCTTTGTGGAGTCCCTAAGTGACCGTTGACCTCAAACTGGGATATCAAAAGGTCACTCACTTTGAAGAACCAGGTACAGAAGATTGAATGGAGTGAACATGATCACTCTTGGACCACCACTCCCGCTGAACGTCCAGCCAATCCACTCTCACTTCCCCTGGTCGTGCCCGTAACCGCATCAGGTCTCCAAGACTGTGTCCTGATTGGGGATCCCAGATTGGGGCGCATCAAGCAAGGCCCAAGAGAAGCATTTTCCACGTCCCACCCCGAAGCTCAGCACCTCATCACCGGTTTGGGCACGATGTCCACGGCCAACGCTGCCGTGGTCCACCGGGGCCTTCACCAACACCGCGCGCTGGGCGCCAAAACCGGTCGACCACGCCCCAGGAGGGCAGCTTGGTCGTCACGGTGCCGCCGGGCTTCGGCTTCCGTGCGGGCGACTTCGACGTGTGTCGCCTGGCGAGGACGTGGACCCGTCGCAGCGTGGACCCGTCGCAGCGTGGACCCGTCGGGGGATGGGGTGATGGGAGACTGCTGGCGCTGCAGCTTGAGCTTGATGTCGGGTATAAAGAAGCCCTGCAGCTTGAGCCCTGTCAAGTGGCAGGAACGTCAAAATGAGAAAAATAGAGAGCGTTCTTTCTTAGACTACGATGACTACAACCTACAGGGATGCCTTGACTTGTGTGGCGTGTGTTCTTGTGAGCGAAGTCTTTTTTTTGAGATGGGCTCAGCTTCCCAGCGGCTGCCACAGTCGAGCTCCACAGATTCCGACACCCAAAACGGGTGCTGAAAGGTCCCATCACCACCCCGTGTGGGAGATCGGGCCTCACTGGTCTTAGCACCGAAGGACATGAGAATCCCGGGTTCACCATTGAATGACAGAATGGAGAACCTTCATTCGGGTTTGCACCTTCATTCTCAAGATGTGTTTATTTTGGTGCGAAGTTCGACCACAAAAAGCCGCTAGACTCCGCAAGTTCTACACCTGCAGCGTGTGATCTTGTCACCAGTACTCAGTACTCCAGACTCGTTGTCGACGCGGGCTCGTCCGGGCTCTGCCGAAGGGAGTTGAGGTGGTGCCCTTCGCCCTCCAAAGGTGGGACTCGGCAAAAAGAAAACACTGGGACCCATAGAAAACACTGGGACCTATGTGTTTTTTTATCACGAGATACCAGAAAGCAGGTTTCTAGGTCTAGGGGGTTTGCCCTAGGTCCAATCCCACATGTTTATCTATGGTTTTATTGAATAATGTAATATAATATATTCATGCCAAGCATAGCTTTTGGGATTTGAGCTAAGAGTTCTTTTTGGCGCCCGCTGAGGTTTCCAGAGCAGTTTGGAGCGCAAGGACCTGTGGCGGATCATGAGAGATTGGAGCCACCTGCAACCCCAACCGACCCAGGAGTTCAGTGGGATCCCTTGTTGTTACCCTTTTTGCAGGGGATTGGGGGACACCGCACTCAACAAGAACAGGTGGAGTTCGTTCGGTTCACCGAACTCTTGTTCGGATCACCAAACAGCTCTTGGGTCTCAAGGCGTCACTGGTCCCCCTACCCTTCATACCATTTGCCCTAAGATTCTGACCACCTACACTGCATTCCTTTGGCATCATGTGCCCTAAGGCTCCTGGCCCGTATCCTCAGGTTCGGTGGGTTAGACCCTAACCACCTTCGAAACGAAGGCAGGACAGGAGCCCTAGGGGAACCCTATGGGTCATTCGAAGGATCGAGTGGAACCAGTGACCAAATCGCTGTCGTTTCTGCAGGAGCGCCTGCTTTGGGACGATGAATTCTTCCCTTCTACCGAAGCCACTTGCACCGTGACCGGCACTGGGCTGCGTGTGCTCACGTGGCTCGGAGTGACTGGAGTGCGGTGTACGTCGAGGAAAAAGCATCGAAGCGTGTCGAAACGTGACTCCCTTGAGTTGTGATTCGATGTTACATTTGGGGGTGGTTTTGTTGCGAGATGTGAAAGAAAGCTGGGTTTGTTCATGAATGGTTTAAGAAACACACACTTTGACATTGGGTTTTCAGTTAACTCAATTCCCCGAGAAAAGGAATGGCTCAACGGCAAGGTGAAGCGTCCGATCACTTGAAGGTGTTTGAAAAAAGTGTTTCTCGTGATGCATGACTGCAGAAAATTAGTTACTGATTACTTAGCAGACCGAATTAACGCCGTGCATGGAAACCTGGTTTGGGGGACGTATCATGAAAACCACCATGAAAGCAAAAAAGAGAGTAGAACAGCTTGGACAACAGTTGATCGCAGGTACGTTTGCACCCAGGTGGGGGGTGTCTTCGTTGGCCGGAGACCCCCCACCTGGCTCCGGCCCCCTGCGTGTAAAAACTCTTGGAAACAGAGTGTGACACACACACTCAGCCGCTTTGCGGCGCTCTGGCGCAAAAACCTAAATAGGCACCTAAAAAGCCTTAGAAAAGAAAGAAAGAAAAGCAGAAAGAGCAGCGCTAAAAGGGCAGGAGAGAAAGATAGGTGTAGCAAAAGGTGAATACTTAGCCCTTGACTGGGGCAGGGAAACGAGCCTCAAGAACCACCTAAAAAGCCTGAAAGAAAGCCCAAGAAACGACGAAAAGCGCAAGAAAGAAAGCGGGGGGCAGGGAGGGAGTGTATGTCCATGTGTGTGTTACCGATTACTTGGCAGAAACTAATTAGGTGCAATAGTTAGGGAGCGGGACTTTAGTCTTAAACCGCCCGGGTAGAGTAGACTAGAACAGGGACAACAGAGGTTCCATTTCCCTCTGTTACCCTAATTAGGTGGGGAGTAGAGAACTCGGCGGGGGGGGGGGTTGTGTGGGGTCATTCTCCGTATGCCCGGCAGCTTTGACATTCCGTATACCCGGCGGTCGTAAAAACCGTGGTGCCCGGCGGCTTGGATTTTGGGAATACAGTGGTGAAACGAAGTCGGTTAAGATAATCCAACGTGTGCGGAAAGCAGCAAAATCCGTTAGTGATACTCCGGCATGAAAACAGCGCCCCAGTGACGGGGATCACACCCTGCACCCAAGTGGGACGGCAGAGCGGCACACACTTTGACATTGGGTTTTCAGTTAACTCAATTCCCAGCGAGAAAAGGAATGGCTCAACGGCAAGGTGAAGCTTCCGATCACTTGAAGGTGTTTGAAAAAAGTGTTTCTCGTGATGCATGACTGCAGAAAATTAGTTACTGATTACTTAGCAGACCGAATTAACGCCGTGCATGGAAACTTGGTTTGGGGGACGTATCATGAAAACCACCATGAAAGCAAAAAAAAGTAGAACAGCTTGGACAACAGTTGATCGCAGGTACGTTTGCACCCAGGTGGGGGGTGTCTTCGTTGGCCGGAGACCACCTGGCTCCGGCCCCCTGCGTGTAAAAACTCTTGGAAACAGAGTGTGACACACACACACACACACACACGCACACAAAAGTGTTACTGTAGGAGGTTGACAAAACCTTGGCAACGTGGAATTTCCTGATAGTTGGACATGTCCAAAGCACTTTCATTGCGCTGCACAACGTTCCATGGACATAAATGGACTGGCAATGTGTAGAATCATGTCGAATCTATGTTCCAAAGGTTGTAAGCATAGGAGACTGCCGGGGCTACACCCAACGTTGTTCCGGTTGCAGTAGACATGATTGGCACAATTCCACAGCCCTTGCCGCAAGCTCCACACAGAATTTAATCCAGCTTTGGGTTCAACATGGTTCAACCCATTGTCCGGCACATGGCTCCATGTTTCACGGTGGTTTTGAGTCAGTTCTTTCTTGCCCATGTATAGTCTTCGTACATCAAGACACCGGTTTGACACCGGTGACGACGTTGATCCGTCCTTTCTGTGGGCACCCACTCCATGGCCCCCAAGGCACCCACTCCATGGCCCCCCAAGGTACACACTCATCAACCAAAAGCCGCTGCTGTCGATGGTCACCTACTCCATCTCTTCGACCGCCGCTTCGGCCGGTTTCGCGGGCGTCGCGTACCTGTGCGGGCGCTTCGTTTCGCGTTTGGTTGGGACGACGGGGGTGCCGGAGGGTGCCGGGGTCGGGTCATACCGAACCTGAGGAGGTATACTGGGAGCCCTGGGGCCCTAGGCCCTAGGGTATAGGATGGACTTCCGCCTGAGGGTAACTGGACTTCCCAAACGATGGTGAAGAAGAGTATATATAGTAGACTGGACGACCTGGACGGCTGCCCATTTCGTCTGGTTGTCGGACCGGTGTCCTCCAGCACATTGGCCATCCTGCACTGAAAAGAGGACTGTCCCTGCAAGAGGTGCAATTAGGGACAATGAAACTACTGCTGGAGGTCCAGGACATTCGAAGCGGACAAACTTGAAATCATCACATGGTTGCCGCATGCCTGTAAAAGGTCACTGTGCAAGACCCCATCCAGGTCACAAACTGAATGTACGCTGAGTGATCAATGAATATACTTCTCCAACCTGTTTTCAGACGGGCTGGGTACCTTGGATGCACACTCAATTCAATCCATGGTCTTTAGGTGACCCAAGTCTAGGAACTTCCTTTAAAGGGGCAAATATCGTCGAACTGGACTTCTATTATTAACATGTCAACAATATAAAACAAATGGATCTTTCCTGAAACAGCCACTTGTTAACGTAAAGGATCTCGCCATATTGTGTTCTCAACCACTGGTTTTACCCATGATATGCCGGTTCTTGATTCCACCGGGCCAGCAGGCCGACGCTTACCGGGCCGACGCGTCCAGAAACGCGTCCCAGGTGAAGAACCCCGATGTCGCCAGCTGGCCGGTGGCGCAGGATCGGCGGGAGAGCGTGCGTCGTGAGCTCAGCCAGCAGCCCGAGCCACAGGCTCTCCCCATCGAGGGCCCGGTGTTGTCCCAAATGGTGGCTCCAAATGATGGTGGCTTTCCGGTGTCCCAAATGAGATCCTCAACAAGTGGAAGTAACCAGTTTGGGCCCACCAAATGATGGTCATTCTAAAACCAATTGTTAGATAGGGAAATGATCCATTTTTTTGAGGGTTCAATCATGTTCAATCATGTTGAGCCATAGGGAGACATATGGCTGAGATCGTTCATCTGAGATCCTTTGTCGGACAGTGCGCACCCGAACATGCGTCGTTTGTTGGCAGGTTCGGCCTTCCAGGGCATGTTCGGCCTTCCCTTCCAGGGCTCATTGGTTCTCGTGGTGGTTCGGTACCAAGTCCCGGCTCCATCCCGGCTCCAGACGTCTGGTATAGTCTGGCATAGTGACATACATCTATAGGGCGCTTGAAAAGGGTCGTGATATGACGTATACATGGAGCATCATGGAGCGGCATGAGGAGTTGGTTTGGGTTGTTTGGCACCTCGATGCTTTGGGAGTTCGTCGGCCCAAGGTCCCAGACTGAAGGTGTGGTCCTTAAAGAAAATACCATGGGGTACCCTGAAGACTAACATGGACCCGGAAAACCCAGTGAATTGGTAGAGGAGAACAGTTGTTCAGGGTGCCATCATCAACAGTATCATCATCATCGTCATCGTCGTCATCATCATCATTTATCCCTGAAGGTCCAGGACCTGTCCGTCCAGTTGGATAAGCGCCTGAAAAACCTCATTGCTAGAGTGTTTGTATAATCAACTAGAGTAAATTGAGATGAAACTGACCTGTAGGACCTACTGAGTCCTGAGTCTTTGTTTTACCCAGGTCGCCACGAGCGTGTTTGTTTCTTTCGGTCGTGTCGAACACTCCAGTGTGGAAACACCCGAAGAATCGCACGAGAAGAAGCAAAAGTGGTGGTATGTAAGTGACTCTCTGGTCTCACCGTCTCAGACACAGCTGGAACCGTCGCACCCGTACGGACCGAGTCGGGGGACCGTCCGGACCGACCTGTCGTCCGGTCCAGGCGGTTTTCGGCACAGCACTAAGCCGACTCCGCGGGGGCACTGGAAAATGTGTGCTTCCTATAGAGGTAGCGTATCCAGAGGTCTTCAGAGTATCAGACACCTACAATAACATCCCTCAGAGGGTGAAATGCATCTCAGAGCTTGATTGCCAGGATTGGTTGTTGGAAACCTTTAAGAAGTTCATCGCCACTGAGCAGACCATTCGCTTGGACAGCTATGCCGTGCCTGGGACCTCTCTTTCTGTCCCACCACTAGGGGTTCGGGCCCGCTGGATGTCCCCTGCCTAAGACATGTTGATGAATGCGTTCTCTTGCTGGGAACCGCCTTCTCCTGTGGCGTTGTGAGAGATGCGAATGGGATATGCAACATGCAGCTTTAGTTTCTAGAGAACATGATTTGCCTGCTGGATTCCCATGTTCACTCTCAGTCTTGATTTGCATCACACACTAAGACCAGGTTAAAGACGCGTCAAGACGGCACAGCGTCGTCTTCCACTTGGGGGTCTTTGCTCCCCACCTTAACATCCTTAACCACTTCCGAAACAACGCGGTTCAGGTACCTCCTTGAAAGGTCTTTTTGAGGTCTACCGACCCATTTGACTGACCTGAAAGAAGAACCCTATACTTGTCACAATGCCTCCAATCTGAACTTCACTTCTCCATCTCAAACCTTCTCAACTCACTCTTCATCCACCTCATAAGAAAAAGTAGTCACCTCCCCCACCTGCTCCAACTCCTAGATACTCCAACATACGCCAACATACTCCCATACTCTCTGCTACTTCGTCACCCTAACACCACGTCGCCGTCACCCGGGCACCCCGTCATGGACTCCGCACCCGTCGACCCACCTTGCACCGCGCGACCCGGCCCCTGCTTCAGCAGGTGCCCGGCACGCCGATGATCACGCCCACACGGAGCTTCGCCGTCGCCAACCTCGCCAGCGAGTTCACCGCAGGCGAGGACGTGACCGGCGTTGCTTGGGCCGCGGGCGTGGGGGAGAAGCGGAGGAGAGCGGTTTTTTTGGGTCGGATTTGTCAGCACCACTGTTGGGCATTTGGCGAACTGCTGTGTTCAAGTACTGTAAGTTATACAATGTATCATCTGACAGATCCAGATGCATCCACCTTCAGATTGGGCGACCTTCGCCACGCTTCGCAGGTCTGGAGGTGCCCGAGATGAACGTGTCCTTCCGCCTGGCCGAGCCCTTACGCAACGGCGACTCCATCCGCTTGAAGGCACCACCAGGCGCGGTACGTGCGGCGACTCCGAAGCACGCGAACAGCGGCAGAGTGTGGTTGGGAGAACAGCAGGGATGATTGTTGGGGTGTCAGAAGCCAGGAGAACTGAGTGTACATTGTACATGTTTGCTGAATGTGTGTGTGTGTGCGCGTGTATGTTTTCCCGGGCGAGGTCTTTCTAGGTATGTGTTGAACTTATGTTTGTTGGATTTTGATGTTCACAAGATTGAATGAGTCGAACCAGCTCTGAATCGTACCCTATAGGGAGACTACTCCATGCATTAGTCCGAAAGTGAACCATTTGGCACTCACTGTCTTTTTTGGTCGCTCTACCATTTGCACAGAGCTCATAACTGCAGGTATGGCTTTGCGCACCATCATTACATATAATTGCTGATATTACTGGTATAGCCCCCAATCGGTGCTCCAATTCTGCATTTTCATGGTCTCTCCCCTCGGTGACTCACCTAATATATAGAAGTACTCTATAACTAGAACTTGAGTGACCCCTGTTTGGGAGCCAAGAGATGGTCTTTTCCTATCAACAAAAGAGGTCATGTCTGAGTTCTAGGCATTTCTGGACGCGCCAATCGCCTGTAAACAGCACCGCACCCCATCGCCTTCCGTCACTGCGTCCGGACGGCACGTCGGGGTGGAGTCCTGCGGGGGAGGCTTCAGTCTGGGCCATGGCGAGTGTATGAACTTCCGTTGGTCGGGCACCTATCGTCCGCTGGTCTACTCGCCGCCGCCCTTGTGCAACTGCAGCGCCTTGGGCAGATGGCCGGCGCGCTCGAATGCGGACCGGGGGAGGTAGCAGGGGGCTTTAGGGTTCGGACTTGGGATGGGTGGTTTCTTGTTAGATCCAATTGGTCATTTGGCCATTGATCGGTTCATGGGCAAGTTCCATTGTCTGGTTCTGTAAGATCGACGAAGTATGCATTAAGAATCCTGCTCGTGGCGTGACGTATTTTGACATGTATAACTCATTCCGGGAGCAGTTTTCGCTGGTGGGTTTGGATGGTCTGACTTGGGGCCGAAGAACAAAAACTATATCCATGCGTGTATGGAATATCTACCTATCTACCTTGCAGCGGTTTCAGGATCGATGTATATTATATAGGAGTAACAAAACTTATACCAGGACCCTCCAAGGGGTGCCCAATGGAAGCCTATAGGTAGTGTGGGGTAATCCATTGGACACCCCTTGGAGGGTTCTGGTATATAAACCTATGATATACCAGCAGTTCCATGTCGGGGTTCTTATTGGGGGTTTCTGGGTGCCCTTGTCACATCCACTCACTGGATGGCACTAAAAAGAATTCCTTTGGAACTCCAGGTGTGTATATGCCAGTTCAGAAACGATTCCTGGACATCATCTCAAACCCATAGAAACCAGCAGGTTTGGTCTTTGGTCTCCCGGTTCTGTTGCGACTCCAGATCTCTTGGGTTTGAAATCCATCCTTCACATCTTCGATCTACCACTCTCCCACCTGCCAAGCTGCCGTCTACCGACCGGCCTCCTTCCCACACCGAGACCCATTCGCCGGGCCGAGCTGTCAAGGCAACGCCTCGACGCTGTGCACCATGGTCCTCCAGGTCACGGAGAGCGCCAACTTCCGCGCCGAGGCCGTGCGAGGGCGGGTTTCAGGAGAGACGGCCGAGGTGAGACGTGTTCCGGCGGTTCCTTTTTGGGTTTTTGGTGTGTTGTAAAAATCACGACAGTGCAGGATGAAATGAGCCATCTGGCCGTAATCCATGAAAAATGCATGGCTGGACCCTAAACAGCGCGGGTTTTCCACATCTAGACACACATGGTTTCGGCTTGGGGGCCGATCGCTCACGAGGCTCCCGGTTGCCACGTCATGGATCGATCGGTCAGAAGATTCTGTGTTTTTGGAACACCAAAATAAACTACTGCACCTTCCTGGTTCTTCAGTTCGTGACCCACACTCAGATCCCAGGGTTTTTTTTTCGGTCACTGGAAGACCATCTTGAAATTTCTGAAGGTCACTGGCTGAGACCCTCAAGTTTGATCACCAACTGAAGAAGCTGGTGGTGCCAGACAGTATACCCAGACACTCCATGGGACTGCCATGAATGCCGATCAGTTGGGGTTGTTTTGGGGGTCAATGTAGGCATATATGGCATACATGGAGTGTTTGGGATAGTTGTTTGTCACCCCTCTGACTGTCTGACCAGGATTTTTGCACCCCTCAGACAGTAGTGGCAAATGCCACCCCTCATAGTTGATAGGACAAACAGCCGTACGGATTGATATGTTTCAGTCCCTAGGCAGAAAGGCACAAACAACTACTGTCTTGATGCGAACGGACAGTTTGGATGTTCGATGGAACCTCCCCCCTCCTTCGACTGCTGAAGGTGGTGCCGGCGGACGTGGCCTTGAGCTTTCTGATCACCGTGACGAACCCGCCCCTCGGTGGTAAGACGTCCAGCGAGACGACTAGACGACGATCCGGGAAGAAGGTTCAGTGGCTGGGAAGCGGAACACCCTGGAAACCAACATGGACAGGGTCATGAAGGGTTTGGCCACCCAGACAAGACCCAGATGGGACTGGGGGATGGGACATATTTAGACTCTAGACACATCTTGGGGGTGGTTGCAAGGGTTCCAGATTGACTCCAGTTTCGTGGAGGGTTTAGCCAGGGAATTCGAGTCAGGTATCATCGGTGTGTAAGTTGGTCTCCATATACTGTACTTTGAGACCACTGTTTGCACTCATCTACAGCTTCCATTTCGAGTCGCCGGGGTGGAAACGATGGTTCACGAGTCGGGCAAAAAAAAGCTAACTGAGCTCAAGCAGGTGTCACAGAGTTTCACAGGTCCCGAAGATGAAACAGGATTAAACAAGTTGTTGATCGATCAAGCCACGCTTTCACAGAACATGGATCATGATGGATCATCACTTCAGGGAACTGCTCCACCACTTGACAAACTGGGTCCCCCAAAGTTCCCCCGTTTCGGGGGAGTGAAAAAGACCAAATAGTCTTCCAAGGTTTGCTGTTGTTCATGGTCAAGTGCAAAGTTTCCTTGTTAGTTTTCAAGTGGGCAAAGGCTACCAATCCTGCGAAGTCTCTCCACCAGAGGACACACCAACCCGCGCTCGTGGAGAACAATTGGCGCATGGAATTCTGGATGAATCAACGCCTCTTCAGCGGGAGCACAGCAGCTGAGTTGAAGCTGGAGCTCGAAGAGCTGGGATTTAAAAACAATCTCATGGAGGTGGAAAATAGTGGAAAAGACCTTGGTTTGGAGAGGAAAGAACCCTTCCAAGGGCGGTCATCGTTTTTGGAAGAATGAACAGCAAGTGATTGTCGTCATAAGATTGTGGTTCGTTCATAATGAGTGATGCCCCTTTGATATGCGACAGTACCCCAAGTGAGCTATTTGATCTCAGCCTCACCCTCACAAATAGGACTCTTCGCTTGAGTTGGTTCATGTCCAGCGACACAAAGGTGTTTTGGGGTGGGGTGATTGATGTCTGGTGGGAGGTCATTCAGGTTCTAAGTTTAGGATCTTAAAGAAGACCAACCCATAGGAACCGACCAATCTCAGAGAGCCCACTGGGCAGCACTCGGGCTTCGAAAGATGACCATCCTTGCGGATCTCGCCTGTTTGGGAAGTGATTTCTACTGCACACTACAAAAAAACATGCTTTCAGATTTTTAACAGGTGCCAAAAAGGTAAATAATTAAAGGGATTAAGCCGAAAAGGCAGAACAAGATAGAACAAGCAAATCCTTGAAGATCCCAAAGGCAATACAAAGGCAAATAAGGTACATTTCTTGTAATAAAGGTCACCCACCAAAAGGAACCGGTGGTTTCCGCCGGTGGAAAAGAAAGCGGTAGCGGTTCGGTCCTTCTTCAACACTTCCTGTCCGGTCGCACACCGAGTCTTCTCGGGAAGGTGAGATCTACACTATGCCGCATGTGAAAAGGACCCACCTTATGCCGCATGTGTTCGTTTCACTCCTTCTGCTGGTGTCACAGAGCTTGGGGTGGTGTGGCTCGTCCCATCCAGTGAGTGGAGTGGAGAATGGGCACCCCTAACCTCCATGGATAGCACCCCGTCTTGTGACTGCGGGTTGAGTGGTTTTTGGTTTAATCCATGTTCCATCACTTTCCAATTGTTCCACTATGTTCCACTTGCCGAGTGGAGTGGAGTTCATCCCCTTCGATTTGCCCAGTTTTCGCCTCATGGGGCCAGGTAGTGAGTTGGCCCATCTATGGTCTCTTCCAGAACTTGAGCGTGGCGCTCGTGGGCACGGAGCAGCGCGCAGGCGTCGCACCGGCAAGAGACGGTGTCACCAGGGGGTCAAGGGGGTCAAGACCCCATCTGGGCCATCGAAAGAGGGTGAAAAAGAGTTCCAGTCGATGCAGTTCCCACTCGAGTAGGTCACCGACCTAAAATATAGTGATGAGTTTTATCCAGTGGAAGTGGCAGACAAACCCGGAAGGGGGCGGTACGGGTGAGGTGACCATGGATCGAACACCAAGGGAAGCGCCCGAGGACTGGTCCACCATTCGCCGCGAATGATCTTCCAGGGTGAACCAAGTACTCCCAAAAGGACATCATGGGCCAACGTGGATGGCATGGCCCCGAGTTCGGATAACCAGTTTCCGAAGACCAAACAGGTGGGGCACCTCCCCTTCAGCCACGTGAGTCGTTGTGTGGATGGCATCTACTCAACATAAGAACCCACAAGCCACGAGCACAGCAAATCCCTCTTTGGGGTTTGGAAGATGTTCCTTTGCCAAATGGGTGCTCTCGTTGTGCAAAGGTTGGTTTGTAGATGGTGAACTTTGGTGAGCAGGAAGATCCACATCTTGATGACGATCCGCATCTCACATCATCTCACGACTTTCCCATTTCGAGGGCCTACCGGGCGCCCCCTACTGGGCGCTGTCAGGTGCGATGAGTGACTTGCTTTTCGAGTTCATCCCCAGTGCCTCGGTGCGTTGGTTCGCCTCGAGGTCACGACCCACCCATTTGGGGTGGCCTAAAATCATCTAAAATCAGATCGGTTCTGTGGCAATGGGACCGGGTTCGGAATGCGGGCCTATCAGTGCTAGTGTTGGAGGGTAACTGGCATGATCTTGGCCCGTGAAGGGGATTGCATGTTTGTGAGATCCAAATGACAAGTTGGTGACTTTGGCATGCTGTGACACTCAGACAAAGCGTCCCCCCGTCCACTCTGGCTAGTCATGCCCAAGCTAGCCCATTCGATTCTACTGAACGCAGACTTCAAAAAACATCCAAGCTGGATATGCTATGGCTATACCCATAGTATGGTGAAGTTCAAGCATTTGTGCATCATCATTGAATTCTTCAGTATCGACTTGCACTGCCAGATACTGGAGTTTCTTGGACCAACCTCCCACAAACCTTGCGCTCCCGAGGCGTCTTCGGCACGGCCCTGGAGATTCACTTGCACGAGCCCTTGGGCTTCGACTTCCAGGCGCACTCACCGGAACCGAGACGAAGAGACCTGGAGACGACCGGCGTGGAGGCACCGTCCAGGGCTGGTGACCGAGGGTTCCGGCTGGCAGTGATCCGTCCAGGGCGACTGAAAAGAGAGTCGGTTAGGTCATCCGATCATCGACCGATTTAGATGAGCAAGATTGAGCAAGCTTGAATATCTTCAAACCATATTCAACACATTCCGCGGAAACGAACGACATGAAGGAGCAAAAGAGGTCTGGGCATGGCTGGACACATACAAAAGACAGAACCCAACTCGTCAACCCGCCGTACCTCGGACTCCGCCGTCTCGTGTGCCGTCCCCGGTCCGACCCAAGGTGGCGCGGGTGAATGCGCCCTGGGTGCGCAGTGACTTGACCTCGAGCAACCGGCTGCTGCTCATCGGTGCCCCGGCTGCGCGGTGTCCGGGTCTGTGAGAAGACGGTACAAGACAGGAGGTCAGTAGGTGGACTGTCGACATGACAAATATATCTGGCGTTTCGTAGGCGTTTCAGAAATGGCGTGACAACGATCGTTTTGCTGGCATGGACATGGTTTAAAGTGACGCATGAGACTGATGCATCGATCAGCACGCTCCTTCCACCCGATCCCAAACGCTCCATGCTGGTACCAAATATGGCCTGCATTCAAAAAACAACGGTCACTGACTGGCTATATTTACAGTCCTATGGGTCGTGTTTGGGTATAGAATTATAAAGATTTAATATAGATTAATAGGATCCACATCTTTTTCATGCATCCTCGGGACGTCGAACCCCGACCGTGGTCTGACCCTCCGATCTGAATCCTCAAGAATCGTCAGCTGGTGGGTGACCAGCCAACATGGGCAGAACATCTCCGTCTTGTTGATATACCAGGACCCCCAAGGGGTGGTTAATGGACACCCCTTGACCTCTAAGGGGCTATTAATGGACACCCTTTCCCGTGGTGCTGGTATATGCCAGAATGCATATTATATGTCCGCATGTCGAGATGTGCTCCTTCCTGGTGTCACCACTGGGCGATGGGGTGGCCGGTGGATTTGATCAGTCATTCATGTCCCAGTGGGAACGCCACGCTGCGAGCGCTCCTGGTGATCGGAACGATGGGTGATCACCCCACGTCACCCGACGTTCCTTCGAGTGCTGACTACTGGAAGTACATGGCGTGGACGCTCTCCGAAAACACTGGCTTGTCGCAGCATGTGGCAAGATAGATCGAGGAAAGCGGCAGAGGAAGTCCATGTGCACCGCCAAAGCCCTAAGCAGAAGGGGGGCTCTATGTCTACTGTGCCCACTATGGGAATTCTTGGCCATTTTACATGGCACACAAAATGGACAATGCCGTTAACGACCTCCAATGTCTTTGTATATACGGATTGGAGACCTTAGAGGCAGCTGAAGCAGCGGGTCGACAACTCGATACATTTTCAGTCCAAAAGGTCTGTCGAGCACTTTCGTGGACCGCAACAATACAAATGCATTGGTTCGTAAACAAACAAAAGTGAATCAAAGTGATGAAGTTCTCCATGCCCCTTTGGCAAGACCCCTTTCAACAAAACCGTCTTAGCCAGCAAAAACGTGTGTGGAACACACTGTGGAAGCACTCGGTCAAATGACCTGAACCGCACCACTCATCGGTGCTTCTAGAGTTGGACGCTCCCGGTCAAAACAAAGGTCTGGACGCTCATCAGAAAGGCCCAACCAGGGCCTGGTGTTGAGTTCAACTAAACTGAACAAACACCAGGCCCAACCAGTAGCTCAACCGTTTTTCTAACCAACGACTTCGAGAAACGCTCATCGCAACATAAAGAGAACCCTATGAATGAATATGCGGAGAGGACGGAGAGCCTGGTGGCCTCAGAGTCAGACCCTGCGCTACTTACGCCACTCTTTCACTTCTCTGCATTTCTGACCCTACAGGTCCCAAGACCCAAAACCTGGTCCTTCACCTCATCGGCCCTTTCCTTCGACAAACATGGCTTTCCTCGACAGCTGTGGAGCCCGCCGCTTGATGCTTCAACTGGGAAATGCCCGTGGCCCGCGATGTCGGGGGCTATCGACAAAGACCACCAGGCACCCAGTATACCATCGCAACTGGATCTAACCATGAGGCAACGGGGCAGCACATGAGATCCCACGGAGGGATCGTGAACTGAGTCCGAGGAGACAACGCTGAGGAGACCTTCGACTGTAGAACTCACGGTGTGAAAGAGAGAGAGAGAGAGATAGAGATCTCTTCGGGCTACACCCCGGACCACACCCGAGCTGACCCCGCGAGCCTGGTTCCTCTCCAGACTGTGGGGGCACTGATCCGGGCGAAAGAAAACGGCTCGACTCAAAGCCAGTGGAACCTCTGGAAATTCTCGATGAAGCCTCAGCTAGCTTCAACATCCCCACCTATATATTAGATGCTTTGGGGGGGGCGCCAGACGTTGAGCTCTACATCTCACAACATGTCAAAACAACAACACGAACAGCACTTGGAATTCCTGACCCACTTGGATCTCTTTAAACTTCGCTATCACTTCACCTTCACACCCAGGTGGTCGCCTTATCCCGAATGAGAAGACACAAGTGACCCTCTCCTTGGTGCCTCGCCATGAACTGAGCGCGTTGGGGCGCGCGGAGCACCGCAGTGCTATGGGCAAGGGACCAGGTTTGTCCAGGCATTTGTGTAATTATTTAATTGTTTGTTTGTGATCCGAATCTTCTGGACTTCATGAGTGTAAAAGCAGCCATGGGGTGGAATGGTACACTCTTCTAGACAGAGTCTTCTACCTGGAGACGATTGACATATGCCAGAAGGTCATGTAAATTGGAACCATGGACCATGATGATTCATGTGACCACGGGCTTTTCTTTGGCCAAAACGTGTGCACGTGAGGGGGAGGTGAGGGAGGGGCCCCTTATGAGCGGGTCTGTCTCGTGTGACAACAACAACAAGGTTCCTGTGCCAGTGGTCTCTGAAATTTGGATTTGCTTCTCGTCAGAGATTTCAGGAATTCGTCTTAAAACTACCGTTCCTGATTTTTGTCATCAGCCTTTTACACGATCAAAGCAAAACAACACATGTTCTGAACAGGACACATCCTGACCGGACCGGATATATCCTTTATCATTCTTCTACCGACCCCCTCCACCTTCACCAATCGTTTTGAACACATATACCTCGTGGTCTCCGGCTCGCGTGGTCTCCGGGAAACCGGTGGCGGGGTGGTGGCCGAGGTGCGTTTGGGCCAGGGCGGTGGCCCCACGCGGATCTCGCTGCGCGCCTATGCGGACGCGGCACGGACACAAGAGACGGCAAGGACGGAGGGTTTGGCGCGGCGGAGCGGCGGTAGTCGCGGCGGTGTGGAAGAAAGAGAGATGAATGGCCAACCGGCCAAAACGTGGGGACTAGACTATCTACCTACATTGGGAGGTGTTTTCTATTCCCCAGGGTTCAAAAGACTATTTAAACAATAGGCGCTTCAGAAGCAACGGTTTCTCCAAATAGTCGCAAAGTGGTTCATGCATAGGTGCACACTGGGCTGATGGATCGCATGAACCGTTGAGACACCCTGGCACATGCCGCTGGACACAAACAGTGTCACAAAGCCTTTTTCTATCCACGGCCCCTCACAAGTCTTGCATGAACTTGCTTGTTCAGCCTTAGATGGAAGGAATTCGTTGGGAAGTCAGGTTTACCAATCACTTTCATCGATAGATCCTTCAAACAACACATGCACTCAGAACATCCCATGGATGAATGAAGTTCGAACAAGAAGTTGCATAGAATCGAAATTTCATGATTTCGCTAGTGATCTTTGTCCAAGAAACTTCTTCACCTTGTGCTTGGTCGCCCAAATCCTGAGATCAACATGACACAGATAAGGATTTTTTCTCAAAAGCACAAGAAAGCATCACTGGACCCCCTGCCCTCACATCAAAACCCCCAGCTCAGTCTAGTCTCCGCATTCGTCCACACTTTGTGATCCACCGGGTTCTGTGGTGCGGATGAGCTCTTAGATATGTGCCTGGGATAAGCACCAAACACACGCACGCAAAGCTGATGTATAGGTATATACAATGCACATACACAACAGGTGCACTGGTGGAAGCTACTGGATGAGAGATCCTAGAAAAGATATATCCAACGGGCTTAGAGATCTTCCATCATCATGCATAGCGTCGCATATGTATACTGTATGTGTATATGAGTCTTTCATGAATGCATACAACCTCGAACCCAAGAACAAACTGCTAAGTTGCTTTTTGTCCATGCCATCGCGTCCTCGTCAACATAGCAATGGTGATATCGAGGATTTGCCCCTGTTTGCAATGTCAAAGCAAGGACACGAGCAGGGGAAGAGGTCAAGAACCCCAACTTTGTCAAACACACTCGAAATCCGGTTGGATGGAACAGTGAAATTGTGCAGGCAAGGTTCTGTTGTCTCTTGCAGCCACCAGGATATGCCAGAGTGCCTCAGTTGTTCATTCGATCCATCAGCACAGCATACACCAATGCATGAACCTGCTGACCTTGTCACTCACAAAGGTCATGGAAAACAGAACGTACATTACAGTGTTCTGGCACCAAAATAGAGTCAGGCCACATGGATTTTTGGTCTCACCTGCCATTCTTGAAGTCCTCTCCTGCGTTGACCGGCCGTCGCTCCGACCCTACCAGCACCAAGACTTTTAGGATGTTGATGAGGAAATTTAAGACCTCAATAGGGCAATTCAATGTGTGGAGTAAAGATTTGTAACAACGTAGCAGTCCTCCAGGAAACAACGGACAGCTTCAAGTACAGCCGAATGAAGCTGCGACCATCACTGAAGATGGCACCCGACTCATCCACAGTCCTTATACAGGGGGGTTCTGGCACGTTTTTTTTGCAAAGGTGGTTTGGTTAAAGTTCTCTCACAAAGTTTTAACAGACAATACCGTGGTCAGGCAATTCTGGTGTTGTGCTGTTCGATCGACTATTTGGAAAAACCGTTGCTAATATGTTTGTAAATTTGAAGCCCGCAGGACTTCCACCCAACACGACAATGCATGGCCCAACCCCGGCCATGGCATATACCACAGAGGCAAGGTTCAGGAAACGTCCTGCTTTCTCGATGTTCAGCATGAGCCTTGCCAAGTACAGCCTGGGAACATGGAAGGGTCGAGTCTCGGCTTGGCATTGGTGGTGGGAGAGTGGGGCAAGTGCCGGATGCGAAGGAAGATTGTTCACCAGAAAATTGTAAACACAAATCAAGTGACAAAGTTTCGAGTCAATATCGGGTTGAGCCGTGCTTGGACGGACAATTAATTAATATGTTGGAATCATCACTTTAGACAAGAAACATGCAAAGAGCCATAGGAGCAATGCGGTCATCAGTGTGGTTGGGATGGTCTGGAGCTGAAATGGTGGCAATGGTTTCAGCCAACCACTGTGCCACAACCCTCCCATTGTATGCTTTGCAAATCAGCATCACGTCGCCATTTTTCTGGTATAACTCAGTTTGCTGTGTGATTTGATTTCAGTTTCAAGCATCTATAGTGACTAGTGTTTCTCCACCATAGACCACACAAAATGTTTCACATGTCACACATGCATGCAAACAAATTACGTAAGCATAGTAAAACGTCGTAGTAATAAATCATTCGCAAGAAACCATTCGTGGTCGGAAGGCTGGCTGGCTGCACAGGATCTTGTTTGCAGAGCACCATGTTTTGAAGTGCAAGTATGCTCGATGGAGCCGTGTATGCAGATTCTCGTTTGCATGCCCCCAAATTCCGCACTGAAGGAGCACATGCCTCAAAAGTCATGAGATTGTTCACTCATGTTTTTACCCCTGGAGATGGTAAAAGTATATAAACATGTCATTAAAAGTCCAAAGCACGCTTACAAACCTAAACTACACCAAACAAATAACATACTTGCACAAACCTGGCCAGTCACAGTGTACCTCCATTTGTGACGTAAAGGATCCCCAAATTCATCGTGTGCATGAGGCACCATCGGATGGTGCTGGGGTGGAATCTGCACAAGCTAATGAAGGGGCCTTATTTGACAAATACCGCTCAAGAATATGTGTGAATATGCATGTTCACTCAAAGCACATGGGTGTAACGTGAGGAACTTCTGGAACCATTGCCAGGCGTGGCTCAGCAACAATGGCAAGAACATGGAGGAACCCGGAGTCATATTAGCATACAGATCGATCGATGCAATGCAATTGCAAACCAGAACGACAAGTTCTGAAACAAAAATAAGCACATCACGAAGATTCCAGCCACTGTTGAACCAAGCTTCAAACCTTGCGAGTTGGCATGCGTTCTGCCAAGAACTGGATCAGGGAGAAAGTCTCATGAGAGTTGTTCTCAATGTTCCAATAAAGCTCAGACCAGTTCTGAGAAATTCCCTTCGCACTGCAAAGATGACAAACGTTCTCTCCACACCAATGGGTGTTGTTCCCAAAGCGCCAAATCTTCTTGTGGAAACTCCAGTCCCCCCGTAGCTCTGTCACTTGGAACTTGAAGCCTCCAGAAGTCAGCGGTTGGCCGGCCTTACGCAGGGCAGCGCCGGATAGGTTTTGACCAAGGTGACCCTCCTTGGGGTAGTATCCATAAAAGGCATGGTTCGCTGACCAGGTCATCCGTCGTAAAAGTGCAGGGACTGTCTCACTAGTGAGCCGCTCTTCAGCAATTGCAAAAATTAAGAATCTCGACCATCGAACACTGGCTGGACGCCAAAGCACCAAGTTCAGGAAGAACGAAAGCACGTGCTCATGCCCGAATCGGGTGTCCACCCGGGCACTATCACCATAAATGCCAATAGGCATCAAAGCATCCATTTCATTTGATTGAACCTGCCGCGCCCATGGTTCCCCTAAATCCTTCGAAGTTTGCCAGAACTCTCTTAGCTTTTCTGATGGTATCTCGATCTTGGCCTCCTCGATCAAAAAGCTAAGCGTGTCATGGATGTCCAGAATCGGCCATGGTTCTACCACCACTATTGGCTTTCCATCGGCATCCAGGTACTTGACTGGCAAATCTATGTAGGATGTTGCCTCAATGTTCGAACAGATTTTAATTTAACATAGTTAAAACTAGTTACGAATACGATAATACTTTCTTGGTGGGTAGAGACCCATTTTTAGGATTTTTTAGGTAACAAAATGGCTGGGAAGGAATCATGTATCCATCACAAAATATAAGGCATCATGAACTATAACATATTAAATTTACTTGGAACCCACATTAAACAACGATGCATGTTCAATTATGCGAAAGCTGGGCTTGCAGTTCTTCATCAGTTTCTTCATCATACCAGGTTTCAAACCACACATGTGCAATATGTGTGGGGACCCTTGCATGCATTCAACATATATGATTCCGTACGTTCTACTTCATTCACTAATGCCAATGGACTTCCCAAATCGGGCGGTTCTGCTGATGGAGCGGTTCACCATTCACTCGTCACACACACACACGAATGACCAACCCTGAAGCAAGTCTCAGGACCTCCACCAAGCCAGCGCCACCAATCCCTGCTGGCATTCTTAGGGCTCAATCTCCCCAGCTTTTGTGCAATGCCAGCAATTCCAAGCTGTCCAGAACCCTCAAGAGAGAGGAGCAGTTTGGCCTGGTCACCCAAACCATGGGCAGACCTCTAAGGACTATTCCTCTCAGATGGATTTCACGGATGGACTTTGGAATTACATGCGCGTAGTCTAGAATTTAAGCTCAATAATATGTCAGATCTAACACACACTGTGCAGAATGATGTTGACATGTTTTGGACAAACCACTGTGCAGGTCCCAACCCAAAATTCCAATTGACCTTGCCCAATGGGTTTGCTGCTGAGGATCTTTGACGTGAGCCTGAATATTGCGCATCGATTTCCCAACAGTGCTGGCCTGAGATGGTCATTGCTGTAGCAGATTGAGATAGAACCATCTCAAAAGAATAATCAAATATGATTTGCAGGGGATGGCAAAGTATTTGTATAAAATAATGCACGTTCTCATATAAGTCGCAATAGCAGCAATAGGATTTCTAATTCAGCATATATGGAGAAGAGGCCCAGCTCAAATAACTGCGGGGGTCAAAGAACAAGGCACAGCAGGATCTCAAACAAACAACAACAAAGTGTCAGTTAGTCAAGTAATCCACCAATTTTGATGCTCATTGTTTCTTGGGTGCGAACGATGTACTTGGCAATGCGCCACAACACACGCGCACGCACCGATGCTTCGCAGCCCACCCCACACACGCCCCGCGCAAAACCATCAAGCAACTCCACTGCACACATCATCGATGGCATTCTCCACCAC